TAAATTTTATGAAGCGTAAATGTTTTTGTATCTAATCTAGAACAGCTGGGATGTAAAATAGTTATCCCATTCGGACTTGTTGTGTCAGTGTAAGATCACCCTCTGGCCTCCGGCCATCGCGATTATCTTACACTGATACACCGCGTCCTCATGGGATAACTATTACTTACACATGTACGTTCAGTAAATGAAGTTGGTTGGTAAGCATTACTTTTATTTCACTACAATCACTTCATACTAACAACCTATCACTGAAGCAATTTGCTAATTTTTGTACCAGTTTATCAGTTTGTTGAGATGAATTCAAACTGCAATTTGGTAAACTGTTTGAGCAATTGGTATTGTGATAGGCCAAAGCCTTCAAGATAATAAGCACAGTAAAAGTCATTATATTGTCAATGACCATTCCCAAAAGTCACTGTAATGTCTTTAGAGACAACTCACACAAGTAAATATAACCTCCTCAAAGAAAACTCTTCAAAATCTGCTTAATCCTCAGTGATGATTCCAAGAGTCAATATAACATCCTGATTAACAACTCCAAAAAATCACTATAATGTCCTCAATGACTCCAAAGAGTCACTGCAATATGTTCAATTACTAATTACTCTTTAAAAGTCAAAATTACTTCCCCAATGATAAGTCCCATTACAACATTATTCAAAAAGTCATTATAAAATCCTCAATAACATCTTTATTGACAGCAAATGTCATAAGTTCCAAAAATCTCTACAATGTCCTCAATGACAACTTCCACTTCTTGTGACATGTTCATGATTACATCTACAATCAAGTTAATATAATGAAGGTTTTTTATGCCCCTGCCGCGGCAGAGGGGGCATTAAGGTGCTACCCTTGTCCGTTCGTTTGTCCGTACATCCCAAAATTAGTTTCCATTCTCTATCTTTAGATTGCTTCAACCAAATGTTATGAAACTTATACTCCATTTTAATTTTTTTTTAAATATTTTTAAATGGCAGGAGAATTAGTTAAGTCTAGAAGAAACACAAGCCTTGTTTCTTTGGAGTATATGAATAGATTGATATGTAGGGTATACAACATTGAGACATGAACCCAACAATGAAAATTTGTTTGTTTTATCTTAGTATTCATGAATTTCATTTTTATGCCCCACCTACGATAGAAGAGGGGCATTATATTTAACAGTCTGTGCGTCCGTTCGTTCGTTCGTTTGTCCGTTCATCCATCTGTCCCGCTTCAGGTTAAAGTTTTTGGTCAAGGTAGTTTTTGATGAAGTTGAAGTCCAATCAACTTGAAACTTAGTACACATGTTCCCTATGATATGATCATTCTAAATTTAATGCCAAATTAGAGTTTTGACCCCAATTTTACAGTCCACTGAACATAGAAAATGATAGTGCAAGTGGGGCATCCATGTTCTATGGACACATTCTTGTTAGTCTTGACTCATGTTAGTATGACCTTGTATGCTTTCTTTAATTTCTTGTACAGTTTCTTACATGTTGTTGCTTATAACATAGAAAATGTTAGTGCAAGTGGGGCATCCGTGTACTATGGACACATTCTTGTTGTTTTTTATTTTGAATGGCTTAGCTCTTTCTTTGATTTTTATCCAGGTTTTCTGAAGAAAAAATCTGGTTATTAAAATGGTGAAGTATGATGGGTGGCTGACAACAGTTTCCATGCAATAGATTATGAACTACTGTACTCCACCAATGATTTTCAAATTTTAATTTGCTGTTACTGATGAAAAAAAAATCAAGACTGATGATTTTCAACTGTTTGGTTCAGGAGTTATGGTCCTTGATAGATTGGAAAATGCCACTTTATGTTGTTTTCGTGCAATAACTTATGAACTGTTCAACTAATGCTTTTAAAATTATAATATGTTGTTACTGAAGACATAATGGAGGTAACATTCAAAATTAATAATTTTCACTTTTACTGTTCAGGAGTTATAGGCCTTGATAGATTGGAAATTAGGCACAGAACATGGCAGGTCAAAGAAGCCTGATAGTGCCTTCAAAATAAAGAAAACCTGGATTGATGTCAATTTTACAGCTCATTTCTTGTCTCTTGTTACACTGAGATAACTGCTGACCAGATAAATCTTGAGTGCATAAGAGGTCATTATAGCCCCGCTTTAAAATACCCCCGCTTTAAGAAAGTGGGGGTATACTGTTTTACCTCTGTCTGTCCGTCAGTCCGTCCATCCATCCTTCCGTCCCATGAAATGAATATTTTTCGTCGCATCTTTCTCAGGAACTACATCATAAGGATTTCTGAAATTTAGTTTCAGGGTTTATATAAGTCAGCTATACCGTGTGATGCGTTTTCAGATTCATCACTCAACAACAAATGCATATTTGGCTGGGGGTATCTTCAGTGAGCAGTAGCTCGTAGTTTCACTTGTTTAGAAGTGTGTAAGACCTGTTTATTTTTGTTAATGTCTGCAACATTAATGTCACGAAAGCGAAACATAGGGATCCTAGATTCCATCTGCGCCATCAACATTTAGGCTCAGTCTGAGGTTAAAGTTTTTATTAGACACCAATAACTTTGTCAAACTGTCATGGAATTTTATGAAATTTGGACAGGAGCTTGTTTATGACCAAAAGACAGTATTCAGAGCAAAATTTGATAATATTTATTTTCAGTCATATAAATTATAGGATATGCCAAAACATATAATTAACAGCACCTGGTGATGATTCATAGCCTGACCAGTGTCGGTCCTTCACGGTATCCAGGGGATTAAAGTTTTCTGGTATACAACGGATAAAGGTTATCCGGTATACAGCGGATAAGAGTTATTCTGTATCTGGTGGATATCTTTACAGGATCAATTCTCCTTTCAGTTAAAGTCTAGTGGAATTTTCCTTAGTTATAGTAAACTTTATTCAACTGATTTACATGTTAAGGTAAACATTTAACCTAATGATATAACCCAAATTTGGGCTTCTACATTGTGGTATAGGGTGTTTCATTTAAATTAAAGTACATGGTAGTCATGCAGTCTTGATGTTTTGGCTTATGATTTGCCGAAATATCAAGTCTAAAAATGAATTTACATTACATGGTAATGATGCAGTCTTGATTTTTGGCTTATGATTTCACAAAATATCCAGTCTAAACTATATACTTTTCTCCGGGAGGGGGGTGTTATAATTAATGAAGCATAATTTATGCCTTTAATACTCCCTTTTAAAAATTAAGGGTAATATATTATATTGATCATCAGTGATAAAAAAAGTTCAAAAGTTCACAACCCTTTGGTTTGTAATGCAAGTATTACATATACTCACCAAGTTCAGGTTACCACTAGGCTTTTACTTAGAGTCCTTATGTCAGTGGAAAAGATCAGATACGTAATACAGTAATGATATACCCACATAAGAGGTCTATAAACACTGTAGCTCCAAATGGAACTTTTTGCTATTGGAAGCCATATTAACTATGTGAATCAGTGGGAAAAAAATATGTAGCATATAAAATATAGGATATGCCTAAACACATAATTAACATTGCCTAGAGATGATTCATAGCCTGACAGGTTTTGGTCCTTCATGGACCTAATGTTCTGAGGAAGAACGGTGGATTAATTATTGCACCCTATTTATGTAGATCTGTTAACATATTTACAGATAGTCTGGGATTAAATTTTTTTGACATGATAAATTTGTTAACCTTAAAGGATTGTAAAAGTATGAAACTTGGACAAAAAAAAGCTAATCTTCAAGATCAAGAAATAGCATGGAAAGAAAAAGTTTGATTTTTTTTCAATTCTGTATTTTACTGATTTATGGACTCACTTTTTATTGTCAACATTACACTTTTACACAATGGCAGGCCAGACACAGGGTTCCGTGGATTTTTATACGCCCGTCAAAATTTTAACGGGACGTATTATGGTATACAAATGTCGTCTGTCTGTCCGGCGTAAACATGTCGCACTGTAACTTAAGAACGACTTATTCAAATTTCATGAAACTTAACATAGTTGTTTCTTATGATGGTCAAACGATCTGTATACTTTTTGGTGAAAATAAGATTAAAACTTTTTGAGTTACAGGACTTAGTAACTAAATCAGGTGTGTGGATTTTCACATGTTTATTTTTGAGTTATTGAGTATTTTGTAAAAAAGGGGGAGGGGTTTTTCACATGTCGCGCAGTAACTCAAAAAATGATTTATGATTATTGCTTGAAATTTTATACACTTCTAAGTTATATTAATCTAAAGATCTGTATACTTTTTGGTGATGATTCAAAATTTTATTTTTGAGTTATTGAGTATTTTGTAAAAAAAGGTGGAGGGTTTTTTCACATGTCGCGCCGTATCTCAAAAACGATTTATGGTTATTACTTAAAATTTTACACACTTCTTAGTTATATTAATCTAAAGATCTGTATACTTTTTGGTTTTGATTCAATATTTTATTTTAGAGATATTGAGTTGGTTTTTTTAAAAAGGGGGGTTTTTAACATGTTGCGCCGTATCTCAAAAACGATTTATGATTATTGCTTAAAATTTTACACACTTCTTAGTTATATTAATCTAAAGATCTGTATACTTTTTGGTTTTGATTCAAAATTTTATTTTAGAGATATTGAGTTTTTTGTAAAAAAAAGGGGGGGTTTTCGCATGTCGCGCCGTATGTCAGAAACTATTTATGATTATTGCATAAAAATTCACACACATGACGACGGGCGTTACATGCGCTCATGGCGCAGCTGTTTATTTACTATAATGTGTTCAAAAGATAAATGATATGTATGTCAAAAAACTACTGTATAATGTGTCAATATTCTTCTATACAATGGTAGATATATATGTACTTTAATGAATTATTTTAAAAAAACAAAACCTACTTAGCTGAGATTTTAACATAGATTTTTTTACAGTTTTATAAACACAATTAATCATTTAAAAAGTGTAATGATATATTTAACCAAGTCAAAAGAATATCATAAGATTTAAATTTAACATTTAACTAAAGGCTGTTTAATTCATACATACCTCAGTACAAACTTTATTCCGTCCTTTTAAGAAATTTGTGAGTTATCTCTTTTGTAAAAGTCTAGGTACACATTTTTAATGAAATTGAAAACCTTGTCAGTCATTACGTTGAATATATTGATGTTTCCACAACGGAAAAAAATTAAATCACAGTCATTGAACCACTGGATAAACACAGATTAAAATATGTTAATCTGTTCATGTTAAACCCTATTAATATTCAGTATTCAATCAAGCAGTTGTTGTTAATTGGTCTTGATATATCAGGTGGTGTTCTATCTACCGTAGATACTCGCTTAATAGTCGATCCTACTATAAGTCGGGGTCCCTTTTCAGCTCCAAATTCTAAGGATTTAGTCTTGACCCTCGTATAAGTCGGACAAAATTTGGGCATTATTTTTTTCAGCTGACAGTAACTGAACGCCGGTAAAACCAATGCAAATCCAGGAATAATATTCATTTCTGCATTAATGTTTGTTTGGTTTGAATTTAGTTGATGCTCATCATGATAATTTATATTGCTGTTAATAATAAAGATGTATTCATTTCTCTTGTTTTGTTCACTGTTCAAATGTTAGATTAGCCATGTGTTGTTTACGTAATGCATCAATGATTTTGTAGGGTATGACTAACAACCTATTGTTTGAGAAAAGCGAATATAAACCAATATGAACCTGAAAAATTTAAAGTCAATCAACACTTGATGAAAATATTTTTCACAGCATACATAACTCGGTGTTAAATGAGCATGTACACTTCATAATTCTTATTATATTGTGATGATTAAAGGATTAAAAAAATTAAGTGAAGCTAATCAATATATTAAAATAACTAACTCCAACTCATTAGTGTCATCTGTTTACCTATCACTGATAGTTTTCACACCTTTAGTGAATACAACTCTTTGTCTCTTAATTGGGGTTATCAATGGATTATATTGGCTTGTCAATCAATTTTGTAATTTTTGTTTACCTGAGACACTATAATGAATAATATTTTGATTTTGGGAATGAATCTTAAAATTATTTTTTGATTATTATATGATTTATAAGCATTGAATTGATATCATGATATCACAATAATGACACAATAACTCCGCTGAAAACATCCTTTCACATATTTGGTACATTGTTATCTCCTTTTCATTTTTGGTTCTTGGCTCTTCTTTTGGGTTTATAGGAAAACCATCTGACCATGAAAATCAATACACAAACCGGAAACAGTAGAATTTCAACACGAATTTGCAGAAAATGTTTACCAAAGAACAAATAAAACACAAAGACAGTATTGAAGTCATTTATTTTCAACAAAAACTTTTTATTTATTGATTTATGTAGGTTTGGCAATCAAAAACGTAGTTTTGACCAGGAAATTCACTCTGACCACTTTTCTCAAGCTTGGATTTTTCCTCTGGTAGCTAGATCTCGTCTATTAGTCGGCCCCCCTCTCTGGATTATGAATTTTACTCCCAATTTTCCGACTAATAAGCGAGTAGGAACGGTAATTACATTATGGTTTGATCACCTTATCTTCCATGTTATTTAATCAGGCATAATTGGTCAATCTATCCATAACAGCATATGTTTATTTCCCTAAGTTTAAATACTTTTCTCAATAGATTTATATTTTGCCTAGTGAATTTCTTTTATATATGTGGTGTACGTGTGTTTGTATCTCCCACTATGCCTTTAAATTGACAATTTCATTTTCCATCAAAGCTGAGATTTAATTCCTTATATAAAGAAACAAGACAATCTTATCTGGCATTTCACTACAAAAAGAGGTTCAAGATTTTATTAGGAATTACACATTATATATTGTAGCATTTTCTATTTAGTTCATAAGAAAACTCAAATTAAAAAAACCAGCACACATTTTTGCAGTCTTATGATTAGGTGCAAAGTGGTTTGCAAACACATTGATTTTTCCCCAATTAAAAAATTCAGTGAAAAACACTTACATCAACCTAATAAAAAAATAATTGTGGTACACGAAATAAGTGTCCCTTTTCAGAAACAGGTGAGATGTATCATTAAGATCCTAAAAGTTAGTACAATACTTGATTTTATGTTTAAGTGTATTGTCAAAAAATTTCATAAGAATTTGCATCAGAAGTTAAATTATTGCGCTGGGCCTTAAGTTGAGTATTTATTTTAAAGAGAAATGAATGTCATTATTAATGAATCGTTGCATTGAATTGTTTGTATTTGCTTTATTTTCATACTTCAGGCCATCTAGCTGAACCATATGTGTTGGTAATTTTTGTATAAATGTCTATTTTTCTCTGAGTAGTTGGTTGTTGGTGGTTGTGGCACGGGGGGTCTCAACATGGGATTTTGGGTACAGTTGTGCAGCTGGGATTTAAAAAACACCCCCCATTCATATATTGAATAATTGTGAAATCCCTACCTATACATATATTTCACAGCGAAATCATAACCCATTCATATATTTATCAGCTCAAATAGTACCTATATGCATAAAAGAGTTTGGGAAATTCAGTGAAGATCGTTGCACAACAAACTGAAAAATTATGACCCATTGATATATCACAATTGGTCAATTACAACCTATTGATATATTTCCTCGGTAAAATTGAACCCCATTGATATATTTGACATATCAAAAAAGGGACCCATTCCAGTGGCACATATGTATATACCTTCATATAGGAAGAGACCCCCCTGTGGGTTGTGGCAGTCTGATGTAGTATGCAATATTTTTTGTTATTTCCTTCTATCCTCTTTAGTAATATATTATGCTTTGTATGACCTTATTTTCATATATTTCAGTTTATAAGATTCTACGGTAAATTGTTTCCAAGCTTTATGTTGGCCATAGTATTGATGGGTTTGGTGTTCCAGCTTCACCAGATTAGAAGAGGTGGGTACAACAGTCTTCTATTTAAAAGTTATTTTTTAATTAAATGATTACAGATCTAAAAACCAGATGTTGGCTTGCTTTTTCTGACTACCACAGAAATGCTTGTTATCTAAGCAAATAAAAAAGTAATTTGAAATTATAAAGAACTGTTGCTTAGAATTTCAATAAAAAGATAGGGTAGAATTTTAGTTCAAGAGAAATGTTACCTTGCTAGCTCATCTGGCCCAAGGGCCATCTGGGCTTTTACATCACTTTGCATCTGTTGTCCGTAAAATTTTCTTTAAAAATTATCTATGAAACTGCTCAATGGAATGAACCCAAAGTTTGTCTGATTCATCTAAAGGATGTTTACTATAAACACTTTGATTTTCGTCTAGATTGATCAATCAATATGGCTGTCCTGTCTAAAAATATGATTTAGGGAGTCAAACTAGAGTTTTGATGAATTTCTCTAAAATAATAGCATTTGGACGAAAACTGACAGGGTATAAATGGTCAGCACAAAGTTCAGTCTACTCTAAAAAAGAATTTGGAAAAAATCTGTCCTCCTGTTTTGGAGTTATTGCCCCTGTAATGTTGATTTTTATCTTTTTAGGCATTTCCTTGCCAAAGTTTTTTTTTTTTAACTGTAGGAGCTAGGTTAAAAGTGTAAATTGCAAAAATAAACAGATTGACAAGATGTATCCACCCTGAAATTTTAAGAAAAATCGAAATACTTTTTTTTGAGTTATTTCCCCTGACCTTTTTTCTAAACCCCTTCACATATTGAGCTGATTTTTAGTATATGGTCTACTATGTTGAGGTACAGATCCAGTTTACGTATGGTTCCACTCCACTGATATTTTTGCTGAATTTACGGTCTTTGAAAATTTTTGTGAAAATAACAGTTCTACAGAATTTTTTTCTAAAAGCCTTCACATATTGAGCTTTATGCCTATTTTGCGAGCGGGACCATTCTGACACATCTAGTTGCTATTGAAATGTTTTTTTATAAGAATTATTATTTTATTTTGCCTTAATTTGTTTGGGTTTAGAAGCAACCTCATTAATTTATCTCATCGTCATCAGTTGTACATATTTTTGTCATCAGTTCTTGTATTGGAATACACAATATCTTCAATATCAATTGTAGATTTTAGTTTATGATGTTAGGCTGTTGTTAGCGCAGTATAGGGTTTGATTTTTATATTATATAAACGGACCAAAGACTCAAATGGCTGGGTTGCACAAAATATTTCTAAAACAGTGGAAAAACGGTAATGGTCATATATATATGGAAAATAAAATGAGAAAACTAGGGAATAGGAGGTTCACAAATTTTATAGGATCTTGGTTCAAAACTAGTACAGCAACTGATAACGCAAAAAAGGTACCGTCTTTTGTAAATTATTGAAAAAATCCCAAGTTACCCAGTCTGACAAGTCTGAAAAAAATGGGGGGAGCAATTCCATTAATAGAAGATGCACAGCTTCAATGCGTTCAATCTTTCTGCGAAGTTTCAATGACATGCATGAGTTGGAAAGTGTAGTAAGAGTAAGTTACGCAAATAAGTACCCACTTTTCCCCGCCCACCAAACCGGTTCAGACATCACCATACCATAATTAATCCAGTTTTGCACTTGCTAAGTCGTAATAATAATATTTTATTCAATAAAATATCAAGCATATGAGTTTTACAATACACAATATATAATACATAAAGACAATACTGACACATACTTTGTAAAATATAATGGCATTTTATGAGTGTAGTACCCTTAAGTCGTTGTGCAACCCGGCCAAAAATGGAAAAAAAGTATAGGCCTTCTTTCTTTACTTTTTCAGAAAGTGCAGAAATACTGCACTAAACAATAACTCACTACCACACAAGTTAGCAATGTGAACCTATTTTTGTTTGATTGTTGTATGATTTACCATCCTGTTTTTACACATTTTCCGACTGATTTGATTCAGGCAACATTAATTTGTCTTGTGTAGATGAAACGCACATCTTGCCTGGTGTCTTTGTCTTTTGTATCTTTTTTTCTAGTGTTGTCAAATTGAACAGTTTTACTAACCGGTTACTCTGATGATCTCTGATAATTTCTTTACCAATTAACCAGTTAACCGATAGTCAAGATTATTGTCAAAAACAATCACTCTACGAATGATACAATACTTTGAATTTGATCGTGACGTCATTTTGGCATTATAAGGTTTGTTGCCTGTTCCTCCCTGGTAGGATAAACTAATCTCATTGCAAAGTTTAACCATACTTGGCCATAATCATTATTAGGGTATCTAGTTTGAAAAATTTGTCAGATGACCCCGCCTTCCAACCATCATGGCTGACATGGTTAAAAATAGAACATAGGGGTAAAATGCAGTTTTTGGTTTATATCTCTGAAACTAAAGCATTTAGACATCTGTTAGAGCAAATCTGACAGGTGGCAAAAATGTTTATCAGATTGAGATTTATCTGCCCTGAAATTTTCAGATGAATCCGACAACCCGTTGTTGGGTTGCTGCCCCTGAGTTAGTAATTTTACAAAAATTTTGCAGTTTTTTGTTATTATCTTAGATATCATTATAATATTTAATATCTAATACTTTTAATTATGATTTTAACCTTATTTTACAAGATTTCCAAAGCATCAGTAAATACAGGTGAGTGACACAGGCTCTTGAGAGCCTCTAGTTACTGTTTATGAAGTTTTGGCTTCTAAAAAACTATAGGATGCTAGGACCTTAAGGACATCTGATACTGTTTCAAGGGAGTTAACTATTGGCGTGACGTTAAATTGTTCGATTCCCACAAAACGTCACTTTCGGCTGGATGTCATGCGTGTTATTTTCCCTAATAAAAAAAAAACTCAGAACGGTATTTAGTATAAATGATGCTCCAACTTATGTTTCTTACACATGTCAACTTCTATGCCTTTAAGATTAATGCTTTTGATTCTAACATTTTGATTTATAAAATCATAAGAAATTAAACACTTATTACTGTTTCTGCTGTTCCTCGTCTTGAAGCTTCTGTTAGGTTTTGAACAATGAAGTCAACAAAATACCGTATAGTGAGCTATCTCAAGACGAGTGGCCCTTTTGGTGTTAACATAATGCATGCCAATTAACATTTTTAGTCCCCTACCGACGAAGTCGAAGGGGACTTTAGGTTTGCACTCCGTCAGTCTGTCCATCTGTCCATCCGTCAGTCCGGCAAATCAGCTTTCCACACTTTTTTCTTTGTTCTTGAAGATATTGATTTGATATTTGGTATATAGTTTTATCATGACAAGTTATAGATCAAGTTCAAATTTTGTTCCGGTCTGATGATTTAGTCCAGAGTTATGGACCATAACTCTGGACCATATCTAATGTTAGAGTACTATGTTAAACCATATTTCTGTACATAGGGAAATAACTCATTTTTTAAAAGACTTCTTTGTTAAATTATTTGAAGAATTTTTTGGCAGGTTTGTTTGTTATTTAGTATAAACTAATTTTCTGAATGCTATATATATACAAAAAATTATGAAGAGAAATCCTTTAATTAGATAATAATCTATTTTTATTAATGTATATATTTCAATACATTACATTGTGTAGATAAAAGTTGTTGACATTTTATAGATAAGTTAAAAATCTATATATTAGTTTGTGACAAATGAAAGAAAAAAATTTGGAACTATTAATTATATTTGATTATAATTTGAAAATAGATATACACTGTATTACATCATATCTAATTTTAGAGAACTATTAATCATATCTAATGTTCTTTTCATCATGCTTATAAGATATTGAATGATAATTGGTATATAGTTTTATCATGACAAGTTACAGATCAAGTTCAAATTTTTGTTTCGGTCTAATAATTTTGTGCAGAGTTATGGTCACTCATATAATCAGTTTTCCACTCTGTTTTTAGTCATGCTTGAAGATATTGACATGATATTTACTTTTTGTTTACACCATGACAAGTTATAGAACAAGTTAGCATTTTGTTCCAGTTTAATGAATTTTTGTCGAGCCTTCGACTTTTGTCGAAAAAGCGAGACATAGCGATCCTACATTCCGTCGTCGTCGTTGGAGACGTCCACAAATATTCACTCTGTGGTTAAAGTTTTTGAAATTTTAATAACTTTCTTAAACTATCCTGGATTTCTTCCAAACTTGGACAGAAGCTTGTTTATGATCATAAGATAATATTCAAAAGTAAATTTTATAAAAAAATTCACTAAAATTGGTATCCCATGAATAATGATGAATCCACAGTATAGCTTTTTAGGTCACTTGGAGTCTGTTTTTGTCATCTGTCATACACTTTCTCAGAATGTCAAGTTCTCCCTACTTCCTGTTTGCACCAAAATTATCAGACTCCTTGATTTTTAATTTTTTTTGCTAATTTTATATTTATACCCCTGCTTTAAAAAAGTAGGGTATACTATTTTGTCTGTCTGTCCGTCTGTCTGTCCATCCGTCAGTCCGTCCATCGGTCCCATGAATATTTTTCGTCGCATCTTTCTCAGGAACTACATCATAAGGATTTCTGAAATTTGGTTTCAGGGTTTATATAAGTCAGCTATGATGCGTTTTCAGATTCATCACTCAACTTCCTGTTTATCGAACACTTACATATTTTTACACTATTAAAATTATCCATATTTGGGCGGGGGGTATCATCAGTGAGCAGTAGCTCGCAGTTTCACTTGTTTCGCCTTTTAATTCTAAAACTAATTTAGATAGGTAGAAACTATTGCACACAAAATGGTCATCATTACAAGATCTACAAAAAAACTGATTTTGCCGAGACCATTGGATGACCTCCCTAATTGATGATTTTTGACGAATATTAGTGTTTTTGCCTATTATCTCAAAAAATATAATGGAGAGGTAGAAACTAAAAACAGAAATAAATAATCAGAAATATTAGATCTACAAAAACACATACACCTAAACAATTGGAAGACCCCTTAAGGAGTTATAGTCTTAAACAAGAATTTTGACAAATTTTCCTGTATGTCATAAGATCTTCTCGGAAATTTCTCAACCAATTTCAACCAAACTTGGCGTGATGATTCTTTTGGTATCTTTAATAAAGTTTGCATTTTTCCCTGAATTAAGTGAACAAAAACATTGTGTCGCTGGCTAAAAATAGAACTTAAGGGTAAAATGCATTAATTGTCTTATATCTTGAAAACTTTAAAGAGAGAGAAATTTTACAGGGTTAAAAATCTCAGATTATTTGCGCCAAAATTATCAGATGACTTATTTTCATGTTTTTGGCTATTAACACAAAAACTATATTAAAGGCAACAATGATCAGCAATACCAGATCTACACAAATGCCAATATGAATGAAACCATTCGATAATTTTTTAAGGAGTTATAGACCTTAAGTGATGATTCTTTAAGAATTTCATATTTTTGCCAATTATCTCAAGAATGATATATATAAACTGTAAGCAGCAAAAAAGCTAAGTTACCAAAGCAAACACTTGGAGGATTCCTTAAAGAGTTATGATACTTAGATGAGGAATTTTCATGTTTTTGCCACTTATCTCAAGAACTATGAAATATAGACAAAAACTGTAAACAGAAAAAATGATCGTCAATGCAGGATATAGAAAAAGCCAACATGATCAAAGTCATTGCATGAGTTCTTTTGATTGTTGTTGCCCTTAAAACAATTTTTTGACTTATTTTTATCATTTTGAAAACAATAATAGATAGAAATAAAATAGCTAAAATGGTTAGCTACACAGAAGCTACAAAATGACAATTTTGACTAACTTTTGTGTTTTTAAATATCTTGAAGACTATAGTAGATAGGTACAAACTGTGCACTGAAAAAATGGTAACCAAAAACAAGTTCTACGAAATTAACATAATTGATTATATATAAAAATGGCATATATTTATTTACCAGGTGAGCAATTCAGGCTCTTAGGAGCCTCTTGTTTTTCATGTGAATTTCTTACCTAATATGAGTAATGAATAACTATATATTTCAGAGGTTATAAGCTATTGGAAAAACTAGAAACTAACAGCTGCATGCTCATGATAAGCAATATATACAAGAGATATCTCCTTTTTATATATAAATTATTTTTATGCCTCCGCCTTAGCGGAGGGGGCATTAAAACTTACCCTTGTCCTTCTGTACGTCCGTCCGTCCGAACGTCCCAAAGTTGGTTTCAGTTCTCTAACTTTAGTTTGCCTCAAACAAATGTTATGAAACTTATACACAATGCTTATTACCACAAAATACAGATCAAGTTTGAAATTGGGTGGCGTTACTTTTACAATTCTTGAGTTATGTCCCTTTATAAACATAAAAACTGCTGAATTTTTCGTTTCTGTCCTCTTAACTTTAGTTTGCCTCAACCAAATGTTATGAAACTTGTACATAATGCTTATTATCATATAATACAGATCAAGTATGAAATTGGGTGGCATCACTTGTACCTTTCTTGAGTTATGCCCCTTTATAAACATAAAAATTCCTGAATTTTTCGTTTCCGTTCTCTAACTAATAAGTTAGCCTCAACCAAATGTTATGAAACTTATACACAATACTTATTACCACAAAACTCAGATAAAGTACAAATTTGGGTAGCATCACTTTTACTGTTCTTCAGTTATGTTCCTTTATAACTTTATATGATATGCAAGCAGGGGTATCATCTGTGTCCCATGGACACATTCCCGCATTCTCCATTATTTAAGAAACATTCTGCACAACAAGGCCATTTGAGTCTTTGATGTATTTGAAGGAAACTTTAGTAGTTTTGAAAAAATGACAAGTTTGTGTTACAAAAAACTTTAAAGAACAAACAATTATCAGAAAGATACGATAACAAATACCGGTAAGTCAAAATTGCTGAAGTCGTCAGTTGACTCCATATAGAAGTAATTACCCTGAAATGATGATTTTAATCAACTTAGTGTTTTTTTTACTAATATCTTGAAAATTTTAACAGCAAAATGATCAGCATCACTAGATCTACAAAAAAGTCAATATGATTGAAATCATTATTTTTCTGTAAAATGAGTGGTTTGCCTTAAATCATTGCTTAACCCTATTTTTGTTGTGCATGCAATAAAAGAGGCAGAATGTGAAACATGCAATCCATCCACAGTGTCAGTTATTTGTATAAAGCTTCATATTTCAGAAGGAACAAGACTTGGATGTTTCATGCCTAATAATACTAATTTCCATCTGACAAATGTCCAATGTCCTTGGCCTCATTTTCAGGGTTCATTGACTGCTTAAAACAACTTGTTTTTAGCTCACCTGGCCCAAAGGGCCAAGTGAGCTTTTCTCATCACTTGGCGTCCGTCGTCCCGTGTCCGTCGTCCCGCGTCCGTCGTCCGTAAACTTTTACAAAAATCTTCTCCTCTGAAACTACTGGGTCAAATTTAACCAAACTTGGCCACAATCATCATTAGGGTATCTAGTTTTAAAAATGTGTCCGATGACCTGGCCAACCAACCAAGATGGCCGCCATGGCTAAAAATAGAACATAGGGGGTAAAATGTAGATTTTGGCTTGTATCTCTGAAATCAAAGCATTGAGAGCAAACCTGACATGGGGTAAAAATGTTTATCAGGTCAAGATCTATCTGCCCTGAAATTTTCAGATAAATCGGACAATCCGTTGTTAGGTTGCTGCCCCTGAATTAGTAATTTTAAGGAAATTTTGCCGTATTTGGTTATTATCTTGAATATTATTATAGATAGAGATAAACTGTAAACAGAAATAATGTACAGCAAAGTAAGACCTACAAAAAAGTCAACATGACCAAAATGGTCAATTGACCCCTTAAGGAGTTATTGCCCTTTATAATCAATTTTTAACAATTTTCATAAATTTTGTAAATTTTTACAAAATAATTTCCACTGAAACTACTGGGCCAAGTTCATTATAGATAGAGATAATTGTAAGCATCAAGAATGTTCAGTAAAGTAAGATCTACAAACACATCACCATCACCAAAACACAATTTTGTCATGAATCCATCTGTGTCCTTTGTTTAATATGCACATAGACCAAAGTGAGCGACACAGGCTCTTTAGAGCCTCTAGTTTTAATTTTTTTTATCACATGAATTTCTTGCTTTTATGAGTAATAGGGTTTACTATTTTTGGTATGTGGGAGCTATGCAAGGTCTTTATGTCCACCAGAATGGGTTTATCTGACCTTGACATCATTTCATAAATCAGTGGTTAAGTTTAGTTTATTTCTGTGATACTATAAGCAGTAGGTCAACTATGTTTGGTGTTGAATGATTGTAAAGTGTACATATAAAAATAAAAAGATGAGGTATGATTGCCAATGAGACAACTCTTCAAGTTTTTGTGATCAGGTTCTTTTCTTATAAACTATAATCATTATGTCAACTATATTTATAGTATGGAATGATTGTAAGGTTGACATGTTCTTCTAAATGGGTTCATCTTGACCTTGAACTCATATCCACGGATCATTGATCCATGTTTAGTTTTGTGTGATTATGTCCTTTTCTAAGATTATATAAGCAGTAGGTTAACTATATTTAGTGTATGGAATGATTGTAAGGTGTACATGTCTGTCTGGCAGGGTTTATTTGACCATATTTTCATGGTTCATTGCTCAATGATATAAGTTTCAGAGAAATGGTCAGTTTTCAGATGCTATAAGCTGTAGGTTAACTATATTTGGTGTGTGCAATGATTGTAGGGTGTACATATTAGTCTGTTAGGGTTCTATCCTAGAAGTCATTTTCATGAATCATAGGTCAACGTAAGTTTTTTGTTATTACTCCTGTTTCTCAGATTCTATTAGCAATAAGTATTGGTGTAAGGAATTAATGGAAGGTGCACATATATGTCTTGCAGCGTTTATATGAACTTGTTTTCATGTATCTTGATAATGTAAAGTTCATGTGATATCTATTATAAAATCTTGACCTTAAAGACTTTCAATCATTGTCTCAATGTTGTGCAAAAATGCTAGATAATCTCCTTGGAGCCTTTACTTTTTTTTTTTTTTTTTTTTAGTTTTTTATGGGCCCTTAAAGTGATGGTTTATAAGGGGTGCAAATAATATAAGCGGTAAAACCTGATTATTTATTCAGTAGAAGGATTGTCAAATTGCCCCCCCCCCCCTCCCCTGGACAGTTTAGTTAGGCGGGGTCAAGGAAGTCCCTTCTCAATTTTTGCTTGAATGGGGTTTCTAAACCACATTTTGGGTGAAATACTCAAACATGGGTGTGGGAGAATGTTGTGCCTTCTATCATATTTTTACTTTTTTCATAATGATGCTGGTGCAGGATTTTCCAATTTACTTTTGTTAATTTCATATTTTTACAGGTAATTGAATGTTTGTTTCAGAAAGAAGATTGCTAATAATTGGCAGAAATGTTTTGGATCTCATAGAAATGTTTGATCTTATTTCAGAAAGAAAATGTCCTGATATCATTGAGGCTATTGCATCATTTGGAGCTCCATTTAAAATCTTACCAGTTGTTGTTATTTTCCGTTTCATTCTTAAGTAAGTTCTTTTTTCTTTTTTTGTGTGCATTTATTGAAATTATTTGGTTTGATACTGATTCCAGTGTGCAAGTAAAATATGTTTCTTAAATAATCTTCATCACGTTTCACTTGAAACAAAAAAATGTTTGAGGCTAAAGACAATGGGCCTAAAGAGAACAAACAGCCAAATCCTTCAAGTCAGTTTTACAGAGGAATTTGTAACATTACTTTTAATGTGATTTCATAATGTATTAAATAAGTAAAATTTATAAGCTAAGTCATGACATCAGTAAAGCACTGGTTAATCAGGGCAAATGATACATGTACCTTCAAGGACTTGCACTCCGCAAGCAGCAATACTCAGATTTTGTTGTAACCAGCTGTTCGTTTAAGCTCACAAACTTTTGACATCACTTGGTTGGGTCTCCATCCATCCCTCATCATAAACTTTAAAAAAAAAAATCTCTGAAACTGCTGGGCTAAAGGTTAACAAACTTTACCAGAATGTTTCATAGGGTATCTTGTTTAGAATTGATTGATTCATCAACAAACATGGTCACTGTTTCTAAAAATAGAGCATAGGGGTAAAATGCAGGTTTTGGATTATATCTCAAAAACTAAAGTAGGTCAAGAAATATCTACTGTAGAATTTTCAGAAAAATGAGACAACCAAGTTAAGTAGTTAGAGCATATCTGACATGGTATAAAAATTATTGGCAAGTTTTTTATCTCCTATAAAAATTTTCGTAGGCAACAGGGGCATTAAGTGTTACCCTTTACAGTTCGTCCTTCCGTCTTTCCATCTTTACTCTTAAAGGTGTAATTGCCCTTGAAAGACTAAATTTATTCATATTGGGAAAGCAAACATTTTCAGCAAAAGAAGATCTACAAACAAGTCAATATAACCGAAATTGTCAATTGACTGCTAACATCAGTTATTGGCCTTGAACAATTGTTTTTATCCATTTTAAGCTCACCTGGCCCACAGGGCCAAGTGAGCTTTTCTTATCACTTGGTGATTGTCGTCCTCGTCCTGGTCTGTTAATTTTTACAAAATCTTCTCTGAAACTGTTAAGCCAAATTTAACCAAACTTGGCTACAATCATCATTTGGGTATCTAGTTTAAAATATTTGTCCGATCACCCATTGTTTTTATCCTGCAATTTAACATTGAGCTTAAACTTTTAGTTTTTTCCCCATCCAAATTATTGTTGAATGAAATCGACATGACTTAAACGCAGACTGCAATGAGGAGTTTTTGAGGACCCAAATTGAACTATTACATAAACAGTAATTTGAATATAACTGTTTGCTCACAACAGAAGCAGGATACCAGGAGACTACAAACGTCTAGAATACTTTTATCTGTATATGTTATCTACCACCCTGTATTTGTTAAGTAGAAAGGTCAATTGCAGGATAATAATGGATATATAGAAACTTTGAATAGCAAAACAGCTGAAATCTTAAGGTCGACTCGTTAATGAAGTTATTGCCCTTTAAAGATGATTTTAACCATTTTTTTTAGTTTTAACCTTTTATCTTAAAAAGTATGATACATGTATATACAATAAAGATAGGAACTTTAAAAAGCAGGACAAGATCTATAAATATGTCAACATGACTAAAATTGTCAGTTAACTCTTCATAGAGTTATTGCCCATTCATGAAGATTTTTATGAAAAAGTGACCATAGTTGAAGATGCAGGTGAGTGAAACAGGCTCAAAATAAGACTAAGAGCCTCTAGTTAGGATTTGTGAATGTAGATTTGCTTTTTAGTTGAAAACTTTTGCATTCCAGAGTTTTTGGGACTTTTAACAGTCATATTTGAAGCAATATTTTTATGCCTAACGCTATCCTAAAGCATTTTTTTTTCTACAGAGCCATTTTACTTGCTTCTGATTAAATGCTTAATAAATATCCATTGTATTCTTGCAACAATTTTTATATGCATAATAAGGGTGTATCATGGGCTCTTGGCATGGCTGTTTATTTGTGTTTTTTGGCATCAACAATTTATACCAAGAAACTGTAAAAGGCAAAAATGATCAGCAGAACAAAAATATAGAAATAGGTCAACATGTTTAAAATCATCAGTTTACTTCTTATCTGGAATATTAATGCTCTTGATGATTTTTACTCATTTTCATAACTTGGCTTCTATCATCTGTCTCCATCACATATTTTCATCCATTAACTTTTACAAACATTTCTGAAACTACCGGGCCAATTAGAACCAAACTTGACCACATTCACTCATTGATGTATTATCTTGCAACCATTATATTGAAGGGGCTGAGTGGTCTGAGTAGTTCAACTACTGTATCACTAGCCTGTCAACACTGAGGTTGTTAGTTCGAACCCTGCATGTGGCAGGAGCACCCATCTGTCAGTTTTCCTGCCAAGGTAGTTGGTTATCTCCAGGCACTCTGGCTTCCTCCACCAATAAAAACTGAACACCACAAAATAGCCAATAGTGCTGAAAGTGACATAAAACACCAATCAATCAATCAATCAATAAGTAGTGAATTTCTGACTGGGACAGAATTTTCAGAATGACTAGAATTATCTTCAAAGAATTAGAACTGAACTGGTTGACAACTCTTTATAGGAGTTGCTGCCCTTTAATGACAAGTTTTACCTAATTTTTTGGTGATTTTTTGCTATTATCTTAAAACTATATTAGATAGTTTTTTTTTGTAGAAACTATAGCAGGTAGAGAGAAACTTATAGCACAGATGATCAGCAGAAAAAAATCTATGTAGCAATGTACAAACTACTGGCTTCTGGTGAGGATCTACAGGGACTATAGAAGAAGGGGACTTTGGATTAATTTACATTTGTATTTATAATTACAGCAATGAAAGTTTTGAAGGATTAATAACCAGGTTTGGACTACCGCAAGAAGACGGTAGAGAACTGACCAAGAGTGGTTTATATTCAGCAACATTACCATTGATGTTATATATCATATCCCTGGGTGTTGTCAATGTTCATTGCTACCTGCTAATCATGGCATTGAACATCATCAGTAAGGTTGCTGCAGTTTTATTTGGATGGTAAATCATAGTATTTTAGAACACAGGTTTAATGTTATAATAGACCTCAATAATAGTAAGAAAGTCAATAAATAGAAAAATTTGTGAGGGTTCGGTGGAACCCAATGTCTCGCCTACTTTTGCTGTTAGTCGCAGGCTCAACAAAAATGGGGAAAAAATTATTAAAAATTTTCCTCTAGATACTATCTTTTGATTGTAAGAAGCTTTTATCCAAGTTTGGTAAAAATCCAGGATGGTTTATGAATCTAATAAATGTTTTAAAAACTTTAACTGCAGACTGTATGTAATGTTAACTGGAAGAAAAACTAAGTCCATTTATAAGTAATATACGGAAAAACAGGAAATAAATTTTTACAAAATTTCTTCTAGATACTAGTTTTTGATCATAAACAAGCTTCTGTTAAACTGCAGTTTTTATCCAATGCAGTCATAGGTTTGAACGTTGTTTTCAATTTAGACTTATTTATATAAAAATGTATATATAGATACCAGGATTAAAATGTTGTATGCCAGATGCGCATTTCGTCTACAAAAGACTCATCAGTGACGCTTAAATAAAAAATCGCAGACAAGGTTGAAGAGCATTGAAGACCCAAAATTTCGAAACAAAGGTTTTGCCAAATACATCTGAGGTAACATATTTATTCCTTTGGAAGAAAATCCTTAGTATTTCGAAATTTGTAAAGTTTATAATAGGACAGTCACCCAAAAAAAAAAAAAAAAAAAAAGAAAAAGAAAAGAGAAACAGCTAGAGGTCAGAATACCTTAACTTATGATAACCATGATTCAACGTCACATGTCCAGTTCTTACTGCCGTGTCCTGAATTTAGATGAGAAAGGCAAAAATTTACAGTCCTCAAGTGAAATTAATATTTATGCATGCACATGGTTTTCTTGCGCAGCGCAAGAAATAGTAAATGGAAAGCATACGCACTAATACTTTGGATTACAATAAGCATTTGCGTCATCACGTACATTTATTCTAGGCTCAAATCTAATGCTAGTTGAATTCAGATATCAAACTACCTACCTAAAGTGTTTTGACTCCGGATTCATGGCCATTTTATCCGAAATTTGTGTGAATGCAAACCGATGTATCGTGTGAACAGGGTGTAATATAATGTCAATAAACCAAGAAGGATGTATGAAAGCTGGTCAACACAATGAATACACAATTTTCAAAATCGCATCATATTGAAAAGATTAAGATGCTATAAAGTTAAACTATTAAAAACAAGAATTGAAATTTAATCAACATACAATCCTGTTAATGAATAATTTCCGAAAATTTAAAATTTATAATATCAATAAAAACAAACATCATGTTTTTAATGATGGACATTTTATTTATTTAATCAATCTCTACCCCGAGTCTATATTTTCATTATATGAATATATTGCTATACAAAATATTAGCAGAGACTAATAAAACCATGCTTAAACTAAATTAAATAATTAACCAGAGACATGTATACACATGTGTATATATGTCTCTGAATTAATGTAGTAATTAAATGATTATTGTAAAATATTAAATACATTTTTTGTGAGATGCAAGGATTTAAAATCATTGTGATTTTTTTTTTCATTCACTACAGTTTGAATTTAACTAACTGACGTGTATGCATCCCTGATAATTGGTGCTCATATGTTGCATATAATTTTCATAAATGTATTCACTGTTCAGACATTTCGGACATAATATAACATTATACATTATATTCTATTAATGACAAATTTAGTCTCAGTTTAAACTTAATATTTTCTTGGTCTGTTAGTGTATCTTAATAAAAATAAATATTTTGACTGGAATATTGTTTTGTTTAATTATAATTATGCTTTCCGACCTAAGATAAATATTTATAACAGAAATATTGTTTTGTTAATTTTCTTCAGGCTTGCTTTCAGACATTTGCCCGGGCTGTGAAGTACATAATGTCACGTGGTAAACTTTTAGAAATAATCAGTTTATTCTGAGACATAATATATTTGTATATATACTATTCCCAGGTTTATTGTCACAATGCACAATACACAATAGCACGTTGTATAAAATACTACACACTAAATGCGCACAGGGATTGTCTCAAAGCATGAATTATATAATTGCGTTATCATTATACTTGATATTTAATTAACATTCTGATTATTTCGTATTATTAAAAACACATATATTCTGCCAAAAGGCAAATAGGTGCCAATATGTAAATGATTTTTTACTGCAATTTAGTCTTTATTTTTTTTTATATTCCGATCTACAAATGAACTTCGATTGTTGAACTATACAATGTCACGTGGTACCCTATCCATAGAGGGATTGTATCAAAGACATAAACAACTACCTGTTTAAATGATCGAAACTGTTTGAGACGTTCCAAGAATCTTGTTTCCTAGGATATCGAATGGCCCATAGATGCCTCCAAAACTCACCAATATATGAGGGGTTCACGCAAAAACTATATCCAGGGATTTGATCCATTAATGAACATAGCAACAGTGGCTAAAAGTAGAACATAGGGATAAATTGCAGTTTTTGGCTTATATCTCAAAAACTAAAGCAGTAAGAGCAATCTCAACATGTAAAGGTCTACCTCCTGCAAAATTTTCAGAAAAATTGGACTACCGTACCCATTTTGGAGTTATTGCCATTGAAATGTAATTTGTTTGCTAATTTTAGTTTTTGGTTATTATAATGAAAACTGTAACAGATAGACAGAAACTTTAAATAGTAAAAATAACCAGAGCAATAAGATCTACAAATGAGTTGACATGGACGAATTGTCAATTGACCCTTTTAGGAGCAAAATAAGATCTACAAGTAAGTCAACATGGCCAAATTGTCACACTTGTAATAGGAATTTGTTCCCTTAAACTGATTGAAATAAGGGAAAACAATCAGAAGGAGCCTCTTTTTTATACCCTGCCGTTAGGCAAAAGGGGTGTTAAGGTTTACCCTTGTCCCTCTTTATGCACTTCCATATGTCTGTTCGAATTTGGGTGGCATCACTTTCACTGTTCTCGAGTTGTATCCTTTTATAAATGGAAAATACAAAACCAAGTAGTACGGTACTAAAAATAACCCCTGGTTTTCTGGAAATCTTAAATTAGTATACTATGGAACACATTAATCCTCAATTTTTAATGCAAACTCATGGACAAGTATGGTCTAACTATATTTCTCTTTCACCAAAAGTTTCATTTCTGCAAATTTGTTGGTTAGTTTAAGTAAACAATGACATCAAAAGCACTATTTTTTGTCAGGGAATGGCTACTTTTACATACGCTCTAAATTGGAGTGGGTGAATTGGTGGTCTGACACCTAACACAAAGCACAATTGAGTTTAAGTAGCTCTTCCCACGTTATTTCTTCAGGAAAATATTTGAAATGAATGATAGATAAAGGTATCAGTGATAATTTTTGCATTTTTGAAGAATTCAGATGCATAATTAAATCCAACAACTGCACATGCGCATGCATTTACTAGTTTAAACAACGTGGTTCTAATGATTTTTCGCTTAAAACCTTTATATAACTACCATTTTAGAATTTTCATCAAATCATATTTATATTTGTATTTTTAAAGACTACAAAAAATTTTTGCAGTCGTATATTGGTATGACGTTGTCGTCGTCGTCCCAAGACACATTGGTTTTCGCACCATAAGGTTCAATACCACAAAAAGAAGGTTGGGATTGATTTTGAGGGTGATGGTACCAACAGTTAAGGAATTAGGGGCCAAAAATAAGCATTTTTGTAACTTCCAGACAATAACTTGTGTGTAAGTGTATGGATCTCTTTGACATTGTACCACAAGGTTTCATATCACAAAGGGAATGCTGGGATTGATTTTGGGGGTAGTTGCCTCAAAATTTTAGGAATTAGGGGCAAAAAAGGGGCAAAAACAAGCATTTTTCTAGTTTCAGGACAATTACTTGTGTGTAAGTGTATGGATCTTTATGAAATTGTACTACAAGGTTCCATATCACAAAGGGAAAGCTGGGTTTGAGTTTGGGGGTTATTGCCCTAAACATTTAGGAATAAAGGGCAAAAAAACAAGCATTTTTCTAGTTTCCAGACAATAATTTGTGTTCAAGTGTATGGATCTCTCTGAAATTGTACTGCAAGGTACCATACCACAAAGGGAAGGCTGGGATTGAGTTTGGGGTGATGAATCATAAAGGGGTTCAAAAAATTTGGGGGGGGGATTTTTTTTTCTTTAAAATTTTCCGAAGGGTCCAAAATTAAACTTTGTTTGATTTCATTAAAAATTGAATTATGGGGGTTCTTTGATATGCTCAGGAATGTGGGGCCAAAAAAGGGCCCAAATAAGCATTTTTCTAGTTTTCAGACAGTAACTTGTGGAATGGTGTATGGATCTATCTGAAATTATACCACAAGTTTCCATACCACAAAGGATGGTAAGAATTGGCTTTGGGGGGTTATGGCTCAAACTGTTAAGGTATAAGGGGCAAAAAAAGGGGGAAAACAAAGGTTTACAGGTTAATTGACAATTAGTTAAGTACAAAACATAATTTAAAAGCAGTGTAAGGTTGGTAATTCAAACTCATTTGAATATCTCATCTACACTGCTTTTAAATTATGTATATTGGAAATTTGCCGAAAACTTTAATGTTAATAAATTCCATTGGAAATTTGCCAATAATTTTAGTATAATAAACTCCATTGGAAAGTAAGAATTGGCTTTGGGGAGTTATGGCTCAAAACTTTAAGGAATAAGGGGGGAAAACAAGGGTTTCCAGGTTGATAGACAATCACTTTAGTACAAAACATAATTTAAAAGCAGTGTAAGGTTGGTAATTCAAACTCATTTGAATATCTCACCTACACTGCTTTTAAATTATGTATATTGGAAATTTGCCAATAACTTTATTGTTAATAAATTCCATTGGAAATTTGCCAATAACTTTAGTATAATAAACTTCATTGGAAATTTGCCAATATAAAATGTTGCTGATGAAGGTTTTTTGTTTATTTTTAGTTATGACTATGATGTCATTTTCTATTTTAATAGCCTTATGATGTATTTAATTTTTTAAAACTTTTATGGTGTATTTAAATGGGCTTTTATGGTTGCAAATTTATTGGGGTTGTAATTCAAACTCATTTGAATATCTCAGCTACACTGGTTTTAAATTATTTATATTGGAAATTTGCCTATAACTTTAGTATTAATAAATTCCATTGGAAATTTGCCAATAACTTTAGTATAATAAACTCCATTGGAAATTTGCCAATATAAAATGTTGCTTATGAAGGGTTTTGTTTATTTTGAGCCATGACTATGATGTCATTTTCTATTTTAATACCTTTATGATGTATTTGAATGGGCTTTTATGGTTACAAAGGAATTTTATTTTTAGATAATACTGTAAAATGTTGCTGATTAAGGTTTTTTGTTTATTTTTAGCCATGACTATGATGTCATTTTCTATTTTAATACCTTTATGATGTATTTAAATGGACTGTTATGGTTGCAAAGGAATTGAGTTTGATAGTTAATGCTCCTAGAGAGATTCAAAAAGTTTGAAAGGGGGGTTTTCCAATATTTCTATTTCTTTTTTTAAACATTTTTCAAATTTCAAATATTGAAAAATTTCAAGAAGTAATCTTTAATTGCACTGTCTGGCGCATTAGATTTTTAAATCTTTGACCACATTTATTTCTTTGATATGCTGAATCTAACAGTGTATTTAGATTTTTAATTTTGGGTCCAGTTTTCAAATTGGTCTACATTAAGGTCCAAAGGGTCCAAAATTAAACTTAGTTTGATTTTAACAAAAATTAAATTCTTGGGGTTCTTTGATATGCTGAATCTAAACATGTATTTAGATTTTTGATTTTGGGCCCAGTTTTTAGCTCACCTGGCCCGAAGGGCCAAGTGAGCTTTTCTCATCACTTGGCGTCCGTCGTCCGTCGTCGGCGTTAACTTTTTACATTTTGAACTTCTTCTAGAGAACCACTGAATGGAATGAAACCAAACATGGGATGCATGTTCCTTATGAGGTGCTGACCAAGTGTTGTTACTTTGTAGCCGATCCATCATCCAAGATGGCCGCCAGCGGGGGACTTAGTTTTACATAGGACCCTATGGGAAATGCATACAAATGACTTCTTTTAGAGAACCACTGTATGGAATGAAACCAAACATGGCATGAATGTTCCTTATGAGGTGCTGACCATGTGTTGTTACTTTGTAGCCGATCCATCATCCAAGATGGCCGCCATTGGGGAACTTAGTTTAACATAGGACCCTATGGGAAATACATACAAATGTCTTATTTTAGAGAACCACTGAATGGAATGAAACCAAACATGGCATGAATGTTCCTTATGAGGTACTGACCAAGTGTTGTTACTTTGTAGCCGATCCATCATCCAAGATGGCCGCCAGCAGGGGACTTAGTTTAACATAGGATCCTATGGGAAATACATAAAAATGTCTTCTTTTAGAGAACCACTGAATGGAATGGAACCAAACATGGCATGAATGTTCCTTATGAGATGCTGACCAAGTGTTGTTACTTTGCAGTCGGTCCATCATCCAAGATGGCCGCCAGCGGGGGACTTAGTTTAACATAGGACCCTATGGGAAATACATACAAATGTCTTCTTTTAGAGAACCACTGAATGGAATGAAACCAAACATGGCATGAATGTTCCTTATGAGGTTCTGACCAAGTGTTGTTACTTTGTAGCCGATCCATCATCCAAGATGGCCTCCAGCGGGGGACTTAGTTAAACATAGGACCGTATGGGAAATACATAAAAATTGCTTCTTTTAGAGAACGAATAAATGGAATGGAACCAAACATTGCATGAATGTTCCTTATGAGATGTTGACCAAGTGTTGTTACTTTGCAGTCGGTCCATCATCCAAGATGGCCGCCAGCGGGGGACTTAGTTTAACATAGGACCCTATAGGAAATACATACAAATGTCTTCTTTTAGAGAACCACTGAATGGAATGAAACAAAACATGGCATGAATGTTCCTTATAAGGTGCTGACCAAGGGTTGTAACTTTGCAGTCGGTCCATCATCCAAAATGGCCGACAGCGGGGGACTTAGTTTAACATTGGACCCTATGGGAAATACATACAAATGTCTTCTCTTAGAGAACCAGTGAATGGAATGAAACCAAACATGGCATGAATGTTCCTTATAAGGTGCTGACCAAGTGTTGTTACTTTGCAGCCGATCCATCATCCAAGATGGCTGCCAGTGGGTGACTTAGTTTAACATAGGACCCTATGGGAAATACATACAAAATGTCTTCTTTTAGAGAACCTCTGAATGGAATGGAACCAAACATGGCATGAATGTTCCTTATGAGGTGTTGACCAAGTGTTGTTTCTTTGCAGCCGATCCATCATCCAAGATGGCTGCCAGCGGGGGACTTAGTTTAACATAGGACCCTATGGGAAATACATACAAATGTCTTCTTTTAGAGAACCACTGAATGGAATGAAACCAAACATGGCATGAATGTTCCTAATGAGGTGCTGACCAAGTGTTGTTACTTTGCAGTCAGTCCATCATCCAAGATGGCCGACAGCGGGGGACTTAGTTTAACATAGGACCCTATGGGAAATACATACAATTGTCTTCTTTTAGAGAACCAGTGAATGGAATTGAACCAAACATGGCATGAATGTTCCTTATGAGGTGCTGACCAAGTGTTGTTACTTTGCAGTCGATCCATCGTCCAAGATGGCCGCTAGGGGGGTGGGGGGTGGGGTTTAGTTTAACATAGGACCCTATGGGAAATACATACAAATGTCTTCTTTTAGAGTACCACTGAATGGAATGAAACCAAACATGGCATGAATGTTCCTTATGAAGTGCTGACCAAGTGTGGCTACTTTGTTGCCGATTTACTGTTCAAGATGGCCACCAGGATATTTTATTAAATATTAATCCAAATTTGGCCTCAATCATTATTTGGGTATCTGTTATGATTTTTATCTATCTTTACATGATTTCTAAAACCAAAGTAGAGTCAGGTGAGCGACACAGGCTCTTGAGAGCCTCTAGTTAAGTTGGTCCAAATTGGGGTCCAAAATTAAACTTTGTTTGATTTCAACAAAAATTTAATATATGGGGTTCTTTGATATGCTGCATCTAACCATGTATTTAGATTTTTTATTTGTGGGCCCCGCTATCAAATTGGTTCATATTGAGGTCAAAAGGGTCCAAAATTAAACTTTTTTTGATTTCATCAAAAATTGAATTATTGGGGTTCTTTGATATGCCAAATCTAACCGTGTATTTAGATTTTTAATTTTGGGTCCCGTTTTTTAAATTGGTCTTTATTAAGGTCCAAAGGGTCCAAAATTAAACTTTGTTTGATTTCATCAAAAATTGAATTATTTGGGTTCTTTGATATGCCAAATCTAACCGTGTATTTAGATTTTTAATTTTGTCCTGTTTTTTAAATTGGTCTACATTAAGGTCCAAAGGGTCCAAAATTAAACTTAGTTTGATTTTAACAAAAATTGAATTCTTGTTGTTCTTTGATATGCTGAATCTAAACATGTGTTTAGATTTTTGATTATGGGCCCAGTTTTCAACTTGGTTGAAATTGGGGTCCAAAATTAAACTTTGTTTGATTTCAACAAAAATTGAATATATGGGGTTCTTTGATATGCTGAATCTAAGCATGTATTTTGATTTTTGGGCCCCATTATCAAATTGGTCCACATTGATGTCAAAAGGGTCCAAAATTACACTTTGTTTGATTTCATCAAAAATTAAATTCTTTGGATTCTTCCTGATATGCTGAATCTAACCATGTATTTAGATTTTGGATAACGGACCATAATTGGTAAATTAAAATTTTTTAAGTTCTTAGACCACATTCATTCTGTGTCAGAAACCTATGCTGTGTCAAATATTTAATCACAATCCAAATTCAGAGCTGTATCAAGCTTGAATGTTGTATACTTGCCCCAACTGTTCAGGGTTTGACCTCTGCGGTCGTATCAAGCTGCGCCCAGCGGAGCATTTTATTGATAATTTAAATCTTTTTGACTAAATTAATTAGATGCAAACCGATTAGATTTATGAAATTAACTTCAAATAGACCGATCTATGTCTGGTACATATAAGTTAACCTGTCACCTGAACAGGTAAATTTACAACTAATTAACCTTGATTGTAATGAGAGGGTATTAGAAAAATTAACCTTTGACCATTATTTTTGAAATGGCTGCTATGATACATGAAAAAATAAAAGTTTGATATTTATGTTGAACATATCATGGATTAGTTCCTTGTGTCAAAGTCTATGAAAATTGAAACCCTATTAAATTATTTATATGTATGGGAATAAATTATTTGTTTCTGTGCCTCACACAAAAATGTGCATGCAGGGCCCTTCCTGACATCGTCAATTTACTAGTTTTTTTTCAAATAACACAAAAACCATAAAAGATTTGGAGAATCTAATGAATGAAAAATGTTCTTTATAACAAATGAAATACCGGGTGAGTCCTCATGCATCATCCTCAAACCCTGCCATTTGAGAATGTTCAAATATTTTTGAGAAAGGTTGAGATCCCCACCCCTAAACTATATATTTTCTTGTTAGTCATGGTAAGGTTAATTGAATGATATATAGGGTTAGTATTCAGGGGTCATCCAAGCATCTGCCATTTGATAATGTTCAAATGTATATTATTTGCCATTTATTAAGATTCCATATATTTTCTAGTTGGTCATATCAAGATGAATGATAATTTTCAGGAAATTTTTTTTTTTAAAAGATTATTCTGATCATGGTCAGGATAGGCAAGAAAAGCTATTTGAACCCCATGAAAGGAATAAATAATAAGATAGATATTTTCATGTTTTGCAGGATTCCATCCCTTTTATTTACTTTTTGTGAGAAGATAAAAGTTATACTGCTCATACTAGCAATATTGACATCTTGTATACTGTGTGGAAGTTTGGGGATCATCATATCTTACATTTGTTTTGTGTTACAGGTAAGTCAGTATACTGAGTAAAATTTTTTTAAATAAACTTATGGCTAATGTATACTATCAAAAGTACAAGATGGGCAACTGTTAAAAATAATTTTATGATTAATTGGTATTTCCTTAAATGGAATAATATATAACAGCCAGGGCTTCCAAAAAATATTTGAGCCAATCGGACTTAGTAACAATAGACATTCAATGTAATCATTAGGGCATCTTAACAATGATTGACATAAAAACGATATTAAACTTCAGACTTTTGATATAAATTTGATGTTCTGACGTATACTGTAACATAGGCAGTGCATCATTTGAAGAGTGCAACATCAGCATACTAATATCTGCCTTAGACTCTCTATTAATGCAAAATAACGCTGTCATAAACTTTATTTTCCCTTTTAAAAAACACTTTTTCCTAATACTGGATTTTGACTTGACAATGGCAAAAAACGGACCAGAGAAGGATACGTAAAATCCGTGTACGTTAACAAAGCACAATTATTTCAGTAATTCTTTTCACGTTATTTTTTCAAGAAAAAACTTAAAATGAACATAAGATAAAAGTATCAATGATATTTTTAGCATTTTTGAAGAATTTGTAGGCATTATTAAATTTCAGGCCTGTGTGCTCACGTTTTTTAGTTCAAACAACATGTTTTTGATGATCTTTTACTTTTTAAATTTATCATCAAATCATAATTTAATATGTATTTCTGATAGACTAAATCTTTTTTACTAGATTAATTAGATGCAAACCAGTGCAATTTTAGAAATAACTTTAAATGGTAAACGGAAATAAAGTCACAGGAAAAAAAGTCACAATATATGATAGGGTAAAATTATTTAAAAGAAGTATGTTGGAATGCGCATGAAAAAGTCACTATGTACATGTATGAAATAAATAATCAAAATAGAGTTTTTGAATGCATACATAAAAGTCATAATATACTTGTATCAGATCAATTGTTCTAAGTAGTAGATTTTAAAATGTATATAGGAAAAGGTCACATTATAGCACAATTTTATCAACAAAGTTTATGATTTTTAACTGGATTTTCATAGGAAGTATCGGTTATTAAAATGGTGATGTACGGCGGGCGTCTGCCAAACAGTGTCAGCACAATAACTTGAAAACGCTTTAACAAATTTTTTTCAAATTTAAATATGTTGTTTCCTGGGACTTAATGAAGGTCTAGTTCAATTTTCAAGATATTAGTATATCTCCTTTGTGAGTTATCGCCATTTTTAATATCCAAAAGTGGAATTTTTAAATATTTTACTCTTGTTATCTTTTATCTTTTTTATGACTAAGCATAATGTCTTATCTCACAATAAAAATTGGAGTGACAGATTTATTTGAAAATTATCTATTTCCTAAGTGGTAGTCATTATAAGCTATATTATTAGACATTTTGAAGTTAATTACATTATTAATTATTAATTAGATCTGGGTTATATCTTAGCATACAATATCATTGGAGTGACAGATTTATTTGAAAATTTTCTGTTTTCTAATAAGATCTGTAGGACTGTATATATAAAGTTTGAAATTTACAAGTAGGACTGTATAAATGAAATTTGAAATTAACTCTTCATTATTCGACATTTTGTAGATAATTAAGTCTCCCTAAACCATATATATTCTTACCCCCACCCCCTTTCAATTTGAGAATGTGCTTTTATCTTGTAAACGGTTGAGATCCCCACCCCTAAACCATATATATTCTTGTATGGGACAATAAAACAAATCAAATGAAATATTTGGGGAGTCCCCAGGTTCACCCCCACACCCCCTACTTTTTGAAAACTTGTAAACGGTCAAGATCCCAACCCTGAAACCATATATATTCTTGTATGTGACAACAAAACAAATCAAATGAAATAAAAGGTGAGTCCCCTAGGGCCATCCCCACCCCCTCCTGTTTGAGAACTTGTAAACGGTCAAGATCCCCACCCCTAAACCATATATATTCTTGTACGGGACAATAACATAAATCAAACGAAATATAGGGGAAGTCCATGGGGGTCACCCCAACCCCCCTTCTTTTTGAAAACTTGTAAACGGTTAAGATCCCCACCCCGAAACCATATATATTGTATGGGACAATAAAACAAATCTAATGAAATAAAAGGTGAGTCCCCTGGGGTCACCCCTACCCCCTCCTGTTTGAGAACTTGTAAACAATTGAGATCCCCACCCCTAAACCATATATATTCTTGTATGCAATAAAACAAATCAAATGAAATATAGGGGAAGTCCATGGGGGTCACCCCCACCCCCTTTTTTTTGATAACTTGTAAACGGTCTAGATCCCCACCCCTAAACCATATGTATTCTTGAATGGGACAATAAAAAAAATCAAATGAAATTAAGGGGAAATCCCCTGGGGTAACCCCCCACCCCCCTTCTTTTTGAAAACTTGTAAACGGTCAAGATCCCCATGCGGAAACCATATATATTCTTGTATGGGACCATAAGACAAATCAAATGAAATATAAGGAGAGTCCCCCAGGGTCAATCCATAGGTGTCACTAATGTATATCATAAACCAATTTGTACTGGACATTGTCCAATGTCAAGCGACAATGGGAATGACAAATTATTGGAGCTTTGTTTGGGAGACTTCGTAACAGCATTCTGTTACAGTTATTTCTTGTTACTGATAAGTTTTATAGATTTTGAAATGACATTGTATTAATGATAAATAAAATTTTGGATTTTTTTCTTCTTTTCTTTGGTAAATAGTTTGTAGAATTTTGTGGCAAGTTTGTTTGTTATTCTGTAAAAACTAATTTTCTGAATGCTATATATATTTTTTTTTTTGATGAAGTAAACTCCTTTAAAAACTAAGCATATATTGTCTATTAGTAAACATTTATTTAGATTTCTGATTTTGGGCCCAGTTTTCAAGTTGGTCCAAAAAACTAGACCAACACATTGAGGTCCAAAGGGTCCTAAATTAAACTTTTGATTAATTTCATCAAACATTGAATTCTTTGGTTCTTTGATATGCTGATTCTAGCAATGTTTAAGTGTTAAATCATATCTAATTTTAGAGAACTTAGTCATCACTGGTTGTTGATATTATATTATTGATTATAATTTGAAAAATTGCATCATATCTTATTTTATAGAACTATTTATCCAGTTTGAGTTATTTCCCTATGCACAGAAAATATTATGGATAAAATTAACCTGTGTTTCATTTCAACATAAATTAAATATATATAGGGTTCTTTCAAATGCTGAATCTAAACCTGTATTTAGATATTAGATTTTTGGGCCCAGTTTTCAAGTTGGTCCAAATCAGGGTCCAAAATTAAACTTTGTTTGATTCAACAAAAAAATTATTTATGGGGTTCTTTGAGATGCTGAATCTAACCATGTATTGAGAGATTTTGGATTGTGGGCTCCTTTATCAAATTGGTCCACATTGAGGTCCAAAGGGTCTTAAATTAAACTTTTGTCTGATTTCATAAAAAATTGAATTCTTGGGGTTCTTTGATATGCTGATTCTAATATGTACTTTTTTGATATTGGACCATAATAGGTATTTAAATGTCCAATTTGAAGTATTTCAGTTCTTAAACCACATTAATTTTGTGTCACAAACCTATGCTGTGTCAAATATCCAATCACAATCCAAATTCAGAGCTGTTTTAAGCTTAAATGTAGTATCCATACTTGCTCAACTGTTCAGGGTTTGACCTCTGCAGGAAAATCTGGTTTGCTGTTACTCTGACAGTCTCTTGTTTTTTATGAATTAAAGTAATAAATTTTTTTTTCTTTAAAACTGATTCTTAAACAATCAGAAAAAGCTTATTGTTTCCTTTTCTTTAATAATGAGACTAAGTTGTATTTCATCGGTATGACTTGCTACCAATACAGGAAGTGAAAGGTCTACAGAAAAGGAAAAGGTGCCACAAGAAGCCACTAATTAATCTCAACAGTCCCTATCAATAATTGTTGTAATTACTTAACTATTATAAATAGGTATTTTTTGTTTGTTTAACACTACATTGAAGGATTCTCAAAAAAGTTGAGCTGTCTAACTCGCATCTCCTCTAAAGAGGTATGAAACAAATATAATTACAACAAAACATGTATCAGTACACCAGATATTACAAGTTTTATACTTTGCGATTTTTATATAAATTTCCAAAGCTAAAGAGCATAAAACTTATACCCATTATGCCCATTTCCATACAAAGAATATATTGGGAATATTTTTCCTATATATATATATATATATATGTGTGGCCAAATGACCATTTTCATACAAAATATATATTGTGATTTTTTTTCCCTATATATATATATATATATATATGTAACCTTATAACCAGATTCATACTAAATATATATTGTGACTTTTTATCCTATATATATACATGATATATGTGTAGCCTTATGACCATTTTCATACAAAATATATATTGTGACTTTTTTTCCTGTGACTTTTTATCCTGTGACTTTTTTTCCGTGACTTTTTCCTGTGACTTTTTTTTCTACATTCCTTTAAATAGACCAATTGATGTCAGGTACAAAATAGTTTACCTGTTGCCTGAACAGGTAAAATGTAGCTGTCAGACAACTAATTAACATTGATTGTAATGAGGGGTATTAAAGTAGAGCTTGTTTTTATAGTACTAATTCATCATGTCACTTTTATGACCTGAAATTTGTGAATGTGCAAAAGGTCAGGTCAAAAAGGTCGCATAAAACCATGATTGAACTCATTTTCATGATTCAGTGATGTTTTCTGGATACCTGTAATAGACCTTGATCTCAAACACTTTTAATATAGAATTTAGTCATAATTAGTAAACCAGCAAGATTTTTCAGAGTATTTCCTCTGGTTATAAAACGGTTTTAAAATAAAAAAAAAGTAAATATATTAAGTCATTTCTGGTCAAAATTAACCAACAGCATTTCTATCTTGTGTTAACACAATGTAGCTTGAAAAGCTAGCTAGAGATTTGTTTATATGACCTTATGATTTATTGTCTTGCCTCAACGAAGTAAAAAAAAGAGAAGCTGAGGTGTGCTGTTTAAGTGTGGGATGGTGGCGTCAACAATATATTAGTTTGTGACTTGGTCAGTTTAAGGGCAACTTCTAGTGGTAGGTGAATGATATTTGGTATGCAGATGTATTAGCATTGGCCCATCTCATTTCCATGGAGATTATTTGGCCCTGCCTCTTCAGCAATGCTTTATTGACTTTTTAAAATATTTTACTTGGTTTACATATATTAGTTTGTGACTAAGTCAGTTTAAGATGAACCACTAGTGGTAGGTTAATAATATTCGGTATGCATATGTATTAGCATTGGCACATCTCATTTCCATGGAGATTATTTTGCCTCGCCTCTTAAGTCCTGGTTTATTTACTTTTTAAAAGAATTTGCTCTGTTTACATGTTTTAATTTGCGATTCGGTCAGTTTATGGTGAACCACTAGTGGTAGAAAGTGATATTTGGTATGCAGGTGTATTAGCATTGGCAAATCTCATTTCCATAGAGATTTAATCACAACTCCAAGTCATGGTCTATTTATTTTTAATATTTGCATAGTTTACATGTTAAAGTTTATGATTAGATCAGTTTAAGATGAACCACTAATGTTAATTCAATTATATTTTTATGCCCCTGCCGTAGCGGAGGGGACATGAAGTTTTACCCTTGTCCGTCTGTACGTCCGTCTGTACGTACGTACTTCCCAAAGTTGGTTTCCATTCTCTAACTTTAGTTTGCCTCTACCAAATGTTATGAAACTTATACACAATGCTGATTACCACAAAACACAGATCAAGTTTGAATTTTGGTGGCGTCACTTTAACTGTTCTAGAGTTATGCCCCTTTATAAATGGAAAAATTGCTGAATTTTTCGTTTCCGTTCTCCAACTTAAGTTTACCTGAACCAAATGTTATAAAACATATACACAATGCTTATTACCACAAAATGCAGATCAAGTTTGAATTTTGGTGGCATCACTTTTACTTTTCTAGAGTTATGCCCCTTTACAATTGGAGAAATTGCTGAATTTTTCGTTTCTGTTCTCTAACATAAGTTTGCCTCAACCAAATGTTATGAAACTTATACACAATACTTATTACCACAAAACTCATATCAAGTACAATTTGGGTAGCGTCACTTTTACTGTTATTCAGTTATGTCCCTTTATAACTTTATATATATGCAAGCGGGGCAATCAGCTGTGTCCCATGGACACATTCCCCATTTATTTGGTTTGCAGTTGTTCTAATAGCAATTGCTAGTCTCATTTCTATAGAGATGACCATTATATGGCCCCTCCCCCTCATCATGATTCATTGACTTTGAAAGTTTAGCTTAGTTTACATGTTAATATTTGTGTTTTGGTTAGTTTAAAGGGAACCACTTATGATAAGTCAATGTTATTTGTATGCAGTTTAATAAGCATTAGCATTTCTGATTTCTATGAAGGTTATTTGAACCTGAACCTTCTGTAATGGTTCAATGACTTTGAATGTTTTGCATAGTTTACATGTGTAAATATTGCCATTTTGATTTCAAAATTTGCATAATACTATCAAAATTACAAGAAGGTGAAACCTATCTCTGTGTCAAAAGTTTATTGTTATATGTTGAAAATTTTTTAAAATGTCTTTTCTTCTTTCAGCTAGCAAGACTTTGTCACTTAGCAAGAGTATTAAAACATAGAAATGATACTACAAAATTTAATTTAGGTGTTACTATACTACTAATATACTTGTGGGTAGTTGCACTTAGTTTTCCTGCTTCAATTTCCTGGGCTAAAAATATGAGGTAAGATTTATATTGTATTACGTTATATCACATTCCGAATTAAATGTGATAGTGTTAGCGCATGAATGACTTATTTATGTGTTTGTGTAGTATTTATAAAATCATTTTTCTAGTCAAAATAATTTTTTATCTTGACTATGAAAACAAATGCCGATGTTGTTGATATTATTTTTAATACATTTTACAACACTACAGGAAGTTTGTTTATTGGCCAATTTACGGCCGCTCAAGAAGAAATGGCAGAATGAATGGTAAATAGAAACTTGTAAGAGAAAGAAAAGGTATTCGTCCTCAGTCTGATAGACCAGTGTTTGATATTTTCAGTACAAAGTAAAATAACAAAAATACAGAACAAGGGGAATTCAAAACGGAAAGTCCTTTATAAAATGGCAAAATCTAAAGCTCAAACACATCTAACGAATGGAAAACAACTGTCATATTCCTGACTTGGTACAGGCATTTCCTTATGTAGAAAATTGTGGATTAAACCTGGTTGTCTCGCCTTGACAGAGTCAAAAAGCGAGACATAGGTATGCTGTTTCCGGCGTGGGCGGCGACGTCAACAATGTATTAGTTTGTGATTAGGTCTAGTTCATGGTGAACCACTAGTGGTAGGTCAATGATATTTGGTATGCAGTTGTATTAGCATTGGCACATCTCATTACCATGGATATAATTTGGCCCCGCCCCCTCAGTCAAGGTCTATTGACTTTGGAACTTTGCTTAGTTTACATGTATTAGTTTATGATAAGGTCAGTTTATGGGGAACCACTAGTGGTAGGTCAATGATATTTGGTATGCAGTTGTATAAGCATTGGCATATCTCATTTCCATGGAGATTATTTGGCCCCACCCCCTCATTCATGGTCTATTGACTTTGAAACTTTTGCTTAGTTTTCATGTATTAGTTTGTGATTAGGTCAGTTTAAGGGGAACTGTTAGTGGTAGGTCAATGATAATTGGTATGCAGTTGTATAAGCATTAGCACATCATATTTCCATGGAGAATATTTGGTCACTACCCCTCAGTCATGGTCTATTGACTTTGAAACTTTTGCTTAGTTTACATGTATAAGTTTGTGATAAGTTCAGTTTAGGATGAACCACTAATGTTAAGTCAATGATATTCAGTATGCAAATGTATTGGCATTTTTAAGTTTCATTTCCATGGAAATTATATAACCCCACCCCCTAATTATGGTTCATTGACTTTGAAACTTTTACATAGTTTACAAGTTAATGTTTGTGTTTAGGTTTGTTTAAAGCACTGGTGTTAAACTGATAATCGTAACTGGAATTACGACGATCCCAATATGGCAACGGCAGAAATAGGTAAAATCTTTTCAGTCATTTTTCTCAAATTTAGCCCGTTGTTGTCAAGAGTTACTCAGCTGCAAGGTTTTTCTATACCATTACATCATATTTGAATTGTAACGGTGCACTATAATTGTCTAAGCGCTTAGAAAATTGCCGTTGAAAAAAATTTGGGATGATAATCGTAATTTGATGGCATTTTTCTTGTTTGATAATCGTAATTTCTTTATGGGATAATAGTAACTGAAAAATAATAAATGTGTCTTCCAGCTTGTCAATGGTATTTTGTGTGTAAAAACGGCAATGTGCAGTTAAACGATGACATTAACACCATAAATAAAAAATAATGAAGCAACTTACAGGTTAAAATTTAGGACAAATTTACTTACATGTATATATATCTCGATTTATAACTGACAACAATATGCATAACCTTTTAATATATACATGTACCTGTTAAAGATATGGAAAATGAAGCAGCTGTCGAGTCAGTTATTGTGGTAAATAGATAATTTAAATTCTTTCAAAGTTTCAATGTTGTTTTCGCGTTTAGGGTTTTTTTTTGGAAGTGGGGAAAAGGGGGGGGGTATTAGCATTATCCTTAGTGCAATCCTTTCAAATGAATTTAATTATACGCAGGTACGACTCAAATCAAAAGACTTGTACTATATTTTCAACAAATGAGACACTTTAAATCCGCTCGCACTAAAGTTAAAGGGAAATGAGGGGGGGGGTGGTGGGGGGGGGGGGGGGGGGGGGTTTTGACGACTAAGCAACAAAGCATCAATTGTATAGAATAAGAATTCTCCGGTTTTTTTTTTAGCGTGTATGTTCATTTGAACATATGAATATTAAACTTTTTTTTATTAATTGCAGTTTCTGATATACCATGCACTAATTGAAAAAAAAACTTGATATGGCGGGATATGCGCTATGATTTCTTAAAGTTGCAGTCATTCTTTGAATAAATATAGCTTGTAAGGTAATTTAAGTCACATCAATTTGATTTCTTGATCTTCTGGCTTTTGGCCAAACTATTAAAGAACACAAATCTATGTTTGGCAATGAACTCCATGTCACCATGTGCTTAACTCCATAACACACGAAGCATTCCAACTTTTTTCTACTCTTATATTATCATTAAATGTTTTAAGGATGTCATATTATTAGAATGCCAAACTAAATTGGTGTTGTTAAAATTTATAGTTATTTTCTGAGATATCGAAATGTCAGTGACGGTCATGAAGTAGCTAAGCATTTTAATAGTATTTATGGGCTATACCATAGGTAAACCCGACAACTTTTTACACATTCAAAAAGGTGTGACATTTGTTTTCAAGTACGATTTAATAGAACACCAAACAGTATTTCTTTTTAACTCTAGAAGAGATCATGATGACATTTTTTAAAATTTTCTCCCATATTTTGTGACGGTCCTAGTTCCTGGAGTTTTCAGTATTTTAACATAGTTCACGTTTCCCCATTTACAAATTTATTGACGCTGGTCCCCCTTCCAATTTTATGATATATTCTAGTATGTAGTGTTTACATTAGAACTGTTAATCATATATGCTCAAAACAAAATGTCGTAAGATGTGGGAACGTTTTCGTGATTAATTCATCACCACATTTTAATCATATGCTATTTGATAGACGTTGTTTGTGTCAATACCAATCAAACAGTATCCAGTTACGATTATCTTCTTATTTATTAATACCAAAATTATGATTATCATTTTTGCGAGTTACGATTATCATCCCGAATTTTTCGACTGCAATTTTCTAAGCGCTTAGACAATTATAGTGCACCTTTACGATTCAAACATGATGTAATGGTATAGAAAAACCTTGCAGCTGAGTAACTCTTGACAACAACGGGCTACATTTGAGAAAAATGAATGAAAAGATTTTACCTATTTCTGCCGTCGCCATATTGGGATCGTTGTAATTCCAGTTACGATTATCAGTTTAACACCAGTGTTAAAGGGAAGGACTTATGAAAAGTCAATGCTATTTGGTTTGCAGTGCAGTTGTATAAGCATTGGCACATCTCATTTCCATGGAGATTGTTTAGCCCTGTACCTTTAGTCATGGTTCATTGATATTGAATATTTGCATAACTTACATGTTAAAGTATTGCTATTTTAATTTCAACATTTGCATTATCAAAATAACAAATAGGCGAGACATATCTCTGTGTTAGCAGTTTATTAAAATTGGAGTTATCTTCCTTTGTCCATGATTATAGTTAAATCAACTACAATCAATGCTTTATACATTGCAATGTTTAATTTTGCCTTCCACTGATAAAACACAGATCAAGTTGAATTTGGGTAGTGTTAATTTAATTTTTAAATATATAACATAAATAAATTGCATCCTGCCGTAGAAGTTTTGTAAAGACTGATGATTGTTTTGATTAAGCAGCACTTGGAAACTTTAATAGTTTTAATTACACGTTGTTTGTTTGCAGGATTTATCCTTAATTAATTTTTCAACTCTTAAGAATAAGAGGTTAAGTAACCAACAAAGGAATAATTATCTGCAACTGATTTTATAGTTATTAACAATTGTTTTTGTCAGGAAATGCAGTGAAAAGGGACACAAGTTGATAATCACCCAAGAAGGAAGCCATGAATAAAAATGTTTGCATACGAATTTGTTCTTTATGTGGCCAATTAAAAAACTTGCTATGGCTTTTTTCAATTTGAAAAATTACAAGTTCATATATTTTGTATCCTTATATCTAACCTTCTGAATTTCAAAAAACGTTTGGTAGATATCTTTTTTTTAGTGTGTATTACATATTTTCTAAAAGTATTATTTTTTTAAAAATCCATGCATATGATATATTTATTTAGGTTCAACTACACCTTACGATTATCAGTTGAATATATCTCAATATTTAGGCACACGTCACAATTTCAAATGGCATGTGTATTCAATAAACATTTTTAATCCAATTAAATAGAGTGCTATCTTTTTAAAACAATACGCCAGTACGGCGCATGTCTTTAGTAACAAGTTTATACCAAAGTAACAAAATCAATGTTTTCGGTAGAAATGTGAATTGTTACTAAAGCGCTAGCTAATATTTGAAATAAATATGTTAAATACAAAGTTTTACATATTTAAAAAAAAAATTGTTTATTGGCTTTATTCCTATATACTATCTCATAGGTGCTTTAATTTTGAATTTTAGACATTTTAGACATTTCCATGAGGTATGAAATGGCATACATATAAATCTTACATGAGGTACGAAATGGCATACATATAAACTTCCATGAGGTACGAAATGGTATACATGTAAATATTCCATGAGGTACAAAATGGTATACATGTAGATATTCCATGAGGTACGAAATGGTCAAGGTACGATATGGTCGGGGTACGAAATGGTTTTTGCCAGGGTACGAAATGGGGGTACGAAATGATTATAATTCATTCAGATGGGGATGGGAGTCATTTGAATGCCACTACATTAATGGTATGGGTTGTAGGAATTAACTAGTATCCTAAATGCCTCCATAGGTAGTTAAGGAACAAAAGGAGGAATTATATGGCCAAAAAAACTCTTGTAACTGTTTTGTTAGAAATCTGTACAAACAGACATTTTGGCAGACCTGACTGGTAAATAAGAATTTCTCAACAAAACAGCAAAAATGTTTAACTTGTTTGTTGCTGTATATCATTTTTGTTTTTTGTTCATTGATTTGTACATAAATGAGGCCGTTGGTTTTCTCGTTTGAATTGTTTTACATTTGTCATTTCGGGGCCTTCTTTAGCTGACTATATCAGTATGGGATTTCCTCATTGTTGAAGGCCGTACAGTGACCTATAGTTGATAAATTCTAAGTCATTTAGTCTCTGGTGGAGAGTTGTCTCATTGTCAATCATACCTCATCTTCTTATTTTTAGAATCACTACTAAATCAGTATTAAAATCCATACACACTGACATATAGTTCCCAATTGTTTTCATGTCTGTACATATGCACAAATGAACTGTAAAAAATTTGGTTACATCTTATCTAAGAGATTTTTTTTATACGACCGCAAAAAAATTTTTGTGGTCGTATATTGGTATGACGTTGGCGTCATCGTCGTCGTCGTCGTCCTGCGTCGTCGTCCGAATACACATTGGGTTTCGCACTCTAACTTTAGTTTAAGTGAATGGATCTTTTTGAAATTTTACCATAAGGTTAAATACCACAAAAGGAAGGTTGGGATTGATTTTGGGGGTTATGGTACCAACAGTTAAGGAATTAGGGGCCAAAAAGGGGCCAAAAATAAGCATTTTCTAGTTTCCAGACAATAACTGTGGAGCAGTGTATGGATCTCTCTGAAATTATACTACAAGTTTCCATACCACAAAGGGATGGTTAGGATTTGCCTTGGGGGGTTATGGCTCAAACCGTTTAGGAATTAGGGGCAAAAAAGGGGGAAAAACAAGATTGTCCTGGTTAATGGACAAATACTTTAGTACAAAACATAATTTAAAGCAGTGTAAGGGAGATAAATCAAATACATCATTGAAATTATCTCCCTTACACTGCTTTTAAATTATGTATAAAGTAATGGTTAATGAACAATAAAGATAATTTAAAACAGTGTAAGGGAGGTAATCAAAATACAACGTTTTGGTTACTTCCCTTACACTGCTTTTAAATTATGTTTAAAGAAATGCATATTTATAAAGGAAGACCAGTAAAAATATCTGCAAATGTTGCATCATTTTATTTTACAAAAAAATCTATATGAAAGATTTGACACTATATTTTTAATTCTATTATAAAATAGATTAAGTTAGCACTATGGTAAAATTAAATGGGTAATTATGGTTGCCAACTCCATTGGAAATTTGAATTGAGATTATGACCATATCTTGAGGGAAAGAATTTTTTGGGGGAAAAAAGGGGGGGGGGATAAAAAGAAATTGTGGGGGGGTCATTTTTTTCTCATTTCAGATTTCAGAAATTAAAAAGAATTATTCTTCAAATATTATTTTTTTTTCAAATTTCAAATATTGAAAAATTTCAAGAAGTAATCTTTAATTGCACAGTATGGCCCATTAGATTTGTAAAATCTTTGATCACATTTATTTATTTGTTATGCCGAATCTAACAGTGTATTTAGATTTTTAATTTTGGGTCCAGTTTTCAAAATAGTCTACATTAAGGTCCAAAGGGTCCAAAATTAAACTTTGTTTGATTTTAGCAAAAATTTAATATATGAGGTTCTTTGATATGCTGAATCTAAACATGTATTTAGATTTTTGATTTTTGGCCCAGTTTTCAAGTTGGTCCAAATTGGGGTCCAAAATTAAACTTTGTTTGATTTCAACAAAAATTGAATATATGGGGTTCTTTGATATGCTGAATCTAACCATGTATTTAGATTTTTTATTTGTGGACCCCATTATCAAATTGGTTCATATTGAGGTCAAAAGGGTCCAAAATTAAACTTTGTTTGATTTCATCTAAAATTGAATTATTGGGGCTCTTTGATATTCCAAATCTAACCGTGTATTTAGATTTTTAATTTTGGGTCCTGTTTTTTAAATTGGGCTACATTAAGGTCCAAAGGGTCCAAAATTAAACTTAGTTTGATTTTAACAAAAATTGAATTCTTGGGGTTCCTTGATATGCTGAATCTAAACATGTGTTTAGATTTTTGATTATGGGCCCAGTTTTCAAGTTGGTCCAAGATAGGGTCCAGTATTTAAACTTTGTTTGATTTCAACAAAAATTGAATATATGGGGTTCTTTGATATGCTGAATCTAAACATGTATTTAGATTTTTGATTATGGGCCCAGTTTTCAAGTTGGTCCAAATTGGGGTCAAAAATTAAACTTTGTTTGATTTCAACAAAAATTGAATATATGAGGTTCTTTGATATGCTGAATCTAACCGTGTTTTTAGATGTTTAATTTGGGTCCAGTTTTTTAAGTTGGTCTTCATTGAGGTCCAAAGGGTCCAAAATTAAACTTAGTTTGATTTTAACAAAAATTGAATATATGGGGTTCTTTGATATGCTGAATCTAACCATGAATTTAGATTTTTTATTTGTGGGCCCCGCTATCAAATTGGTTCATATTGAGGTCAAAAGGGTCCAAAATTAAACTTTGTTTGATTTCATCAAAAATTGAATTATTGGGGTTCTTTGATATTCCAAATCTAACCGTGTATTTAGATTTTTAATTTTAAGTCCTGTTTTTTAAATTGGTCTACATTAAGGTCTAAAGGGTCCAAAATTAAACTTAGTTTGATTTTAGCAAAAATTGATTTCTTGGGGTTCTTTGATATGCTGAATCTAAACATATGTTTAGATTTTTGATTATGGGCCCAGTTTTCAAGTTTGTCCAAGTTGGGGTCCAAAATTAAACTTTGTTTGATTTTAACAAAAATTGAATATATGGGGTTCTTTGATATGCTGAATCTAACCATGTATTTTGATTTTGGACATTGGACCATAATAGGTAAATTAAAAAAATTCAAGTTCTTAGACCACATTCTTTCTGTGTCAGAAACCTATGCTGTGTCAAATATTTAATAACAATCCAAATTCAGAGCTGTATCAAGCTTGAATGTTGTGTCCATACTTGCCCCAACTGTTCAGGGTTCGACCTCTGCGGTCGTATCAAGCTGCGCCCCAGCGAAGCATTTTATTTTAAAAAGTCATTACTCTTTTTCAATTTACTGGCTCGTTTTGTTTTTTTAATTATGTAAGAGTATTGATACAATATCAGTATGATTGACAACTGTCATGATCACGGAACTATTGAACACAAAGGATGGGGCAATCATTGGAATTGTATATATATACCCCTCCTCTTTAATGCCAATCATAATTGACCAAATTACATAACTTTAGAGTTTATACATAACATGGAAGATCACTCAATACACAATCATTGACTTCATTAGTATGAGATGTATGTTTGATCTATATAGGTCAGTCTTATTAAGTGATCTCTATAATCTTGATACATTTGTACATTTGGTTAACATAAATATTAGATGTGCATTTCTTTAATAAAATTATATACAGATGATAGATTTAATCCTTTACCTACATATAACTTTTTTTTTACACTGCATTGAATAAAAGAAAGTTTGTCTCGATTGATTAAGTATTAAAACAATGTACTTTTTTAAAGAAAAGACCGAAAAGAAAACCTGTTTGAGTAAAAAATCCAAGTGGAGTCTATTTTTCTGGTAAAATCAGTATAACAATTATCTCTTATTAATCCATGATTAAGGTTACATTTATCAGTGAAGGTATTTGTATATTCTAATACAGGAAATGTATTTTTGCAATATATACCCTCAATTAAACAAAAAATAAGATAGATGTCTTAAATTTTTCTTCTTGAAAAAACTACTTCTGATAAACATGAAATCAAATTCAATAAAATGCCTTTTAGCATTCCTCTTTCTTTCCATTATTTCATAAGATTTTAATAATCAGTGAACCTTCTTCAATTAAAATATTAAAAGAATTTGCCTCAAAAATTAAAATTCTCCATCTTTGTACAATAGAATAAAAATGTTGATATTTTGTTTAACTACAGGTATACATTTATCCTGCCAGATGATTCTAACAAGTTGATGTCAGTTTTGTCAGTTCTGTCCATCTCTTGTCTTGTAGTATTAGACAATCCTATTTCAGCCAGGTAAGATGTTTGTTGACAGTTCTAACTATAAATCGTCTCAGAGTATTGAACAATTCTATATCAGTGAGGTAAGATGTCTGATGACAGTTCAAACCATGGATTTTCTTAAATTGTTGCACAGTCCTAAAACAGTGAGGCAAGATGTCTATTGACCATACTTACTTTGTATCTTCGTATATTGTTGGACAGTCCTTAAACAGTGATGTAAGGTGTCTGTTGAAAGTTCTAATCATAGATTTTCTAATATTGTCCAAGAGCCCTATAATAGTGAGGTATGAGATGTCTATTGACAGGACTTACTTTGTATCTTCTTATATTGTTGGACAGTCCTAAGACATGAATTAAGATGTCTGATGACAGTTCTTACCATTGATTTTCTTATATTATTGGACAATCATAAAACAGTGAGGTAATATGTCTATTGACCAGACTTACTTTGTATCTTCTTATATTGTTGGACAGTCCTTAAACAGTGAGGAAGGATGTCTATTGACAGTTCTAACCATGGATTTTCTTATATTGTCTGACAACCCTATAACAGTGAGTAATTATATGTCTATTGACAGGACTTACTTTGTATCTTCTTATATTGTTGGACAGTCCTAAAACATGAATTAAGATGTCTGTTGACAGTTCTAACCATGGATTTTCTTATATTATTGGACATTCATAAAACAGTGAGGTAATATGTCTATTGACCAGACTTACTTTGTATCTTCTTATATTGTTGGACAGTCCTTAAATAGTGAGGTAGGATGTCTATTGACAGTTCTAACCATGGATTTTCTTACATTGTTGGACAGTCCTAAAACAGTGAGGTAAGATGTCTATTAACCAGACTTACTTTGTATCTTCGTATATTGTTGGACAGTCCCTATACAGTGAGGTAAGGTGTCTGTTGAAAGATCTAATCATAGATTTTCTTATATTGTCGTACAGCCCTATAATAGCTAGGTATTAGATGTCTATTGCAAGGACTTGCTTTGTATCCTCTTATATTGTTGGACAGTTCTTAAACATGAATTAAGATGTCTGTTGACAGTTCTAACGCTGGATTTTCGTATATTGTTGGACAGTTCTAAATACAGTGAGGTAAGATGTCTATTGACCAGACTTACTTTGTATCTTCTTATATTGTTGGACAGTCCTTAAACAGTGAGGTAGGATGTCTATTGACAGTTCTAACCATGGATTTTCTTATATTGTTGGACAGTCCTAAAACAGTGGGGTATTAGATGTCTATAGCCGGTTATTTTCGCGGGTAGTTTATTTTCGCTTATTTTGGCGGGTACGGGGAAATTGCGAAAATAAATTCAGCGAAAATGAATGCTTAAGTTTGGTACTTTCTAATAGCTAAAGCGTTTTGCAAGCTATCTATTTTTTCCCATAGCAATTTATGTTAATTTAAACAACATAAATGCAAAAGGCCATTGTTCAATGGCTGTCAGGTGTTAATTAGTTCTATGTTACATTATAAAATAAATTATAATATAAGAGTATAAGGTACTCTGTCTGGCTTTTTATCCTTATTAATTAGTGTCAAATTATATAAGAATTGTAAGTCACTCATGATAACTTTATAATCTTTTTGTCAATTTATAAAACTTTTTAACTGCAACCATTTCAGTATCGGACAAAATATTTAATTCGGATTAAAGAATCCACCAAAATAAAAACTGCGAAATTTTTTCGTATTCTTTGTTGCCCCTAAATCGCGAAATTTTACACCCGCGAAAATAACCCGCTATAAGGTACTTTGTATCTTCTTATATTGTTAGACAGTCCTTAAACAGTGAGGTAAGGTGTCTGTTGAAAGTTCTAATCATAGATTTTCTTATATTGTTGGACAGTCCTTAAACAGGAGGTAAGATGTCTATTACCAGAACTTACTTTGTATCTTCTTATATTGTTGGACAGTTCTTAAACTTGAATTAAGATGTCTGTTGACAGTTCTAACACTGGATTTTTGTATATTGTTGGACAGTCCTAAAACAGTGAGGTAAGATGTCTATTGACCAGACTTACTTTGTGTCTTCTTATATTGTTGGACAGTCCTTAAATAGTGGAGTAGGATGTCTATTGACAGTTTCTAACCATGGATTTTCTTATATTGTTGGACAGTCCTAAAACAGTGAGGTAAGATGTCTATTAACCAGACTTACTTTGTATCTTCGTATATTGTTGGACAGTCCCTATACAGTGAGGTAAGGTGTCTGTTGAAAGTTCTAATCATAGATTTTCTTATATTGTTTGACAGTCCTAAAACAGTGATGTATAAGAATTCTATTGCCAGGACTTACTTTGTATCTTCTTATATTGTTGGACAGTTCTTAAACATGAATTAAAATGTCTTTTGACAGTTCTAACCCTGGATTTTCGTATATTGTTGGACAGTTCTAAAACAGTGAGGTAAGATGTCTATTGACCAGACTTACTTTGTATCTTCTCATATTGTTGGACAGTTCTTAAACATGAATTAAGATGTCTGTTGACAGTTCTAACACTGGATTTTTGTATATTGTTGGACAGTCCTAAAACAGTGAGGTAAGATGTCTATTGACCAGACTTACTTTGTATCTTCTTATATTGTTGGACAGTCCTAAAATAGTGGAGTAGGATGTCTATTGACAGTTTCTAACCATGGATTTTCTTATATTGTTGGACAGTCCTAAAACAGTGAGGTAAGATGTCTATTAACCAGACTTACTTTGTATCTTCGTATATTGTTGGACAGTCCCTATACAGTGAGGTAAGGTGTCTGTTGAAAGTTCTAATCATAGATTTTCTTATATTGTTTGACAGTCCTAAAACAGTGATGTATAAGAATTCTATTGCCAGGACTTACTTTGTATCTTCTTATATTGTTGGACAGTTCTTAAACATGAATTAAGATGTCTTTTGACAGTTCTAACCATGGATTTTCGTATATTGTTGGACAGTTCTAAAACAGTGAGGTAAGATGTCTATTGACCAGACTTACTTTGTATCTTCTTATATTGTTGGACAGTCCTTAAACAGTGAGGTAAGGTGTCTGTTGAAAGTTCTAATCATAGATTTTCTTATATTGTTGGACAGTCCTTAAACAGTGAGGTAAGATGTCTATTGCCAGCACTTACTTTGTATCTTCTTATATTGTTGGACAGTTCTTAAACATGAATTAAGATGTCTGTTGAAAGTTCTAATCATAGATTTTCTTATATTGTTGGACAGTCCTAAAACAGTGAATTAAGATGTCTGTTAACATTTCTAAAACAGTGAAGTAAGATGTCTATTGACCAGACTTTCTTTGTATCTTCTAATATTATTGGACAGTCCTTAAACAGTGAGGTAAGATGTCTGTTGACAGTTCTAACCATGGATTTTCTTAAATTGTTGGATAGTCCTATAACAGTGTGGTAAGATGTCTTTTACCAGGACTTACTTTGTATCTTCTAATATTGTTGGACAGTCCTTAAACAGTGTTGTAAGATGTCTGTTGACAGTTTTAATGATGGATTTTCTTCTATTGTCGGACAGTCCTATAACAGTGAGTATAAGAAGTGTATTGACAGGACTTACTTTGGATCTTCTTATATTGTTGAACAGTGTTAACCGTGGATTTTCTTATATTGTTGGAAAGTCCTTAAACAGTTAGGTAAGATGTCTATTGACCGGAATTATTTTGTATTTTCTTATATTATTGGAGAGTCCTTAAACAGTGAGGTAAGGTGTCTGTTGAAAGTTCTAATCATAGATTTTCTTATATTGTTTGACAGTCCTAAAACAGTGATGTATAAGAATTCTATTGCCAGGACTTACTTTGTATCTTCTTATATTGTTGGACAGTTCTTAAACATGAATTAAGATGTCTTTTGACAGTTCTAACCCTGGATTTTCGTATATTGTTGGACAGTTCTAAAACAGTGAGGTAAGATGTCTATTAACCAGACTTACTTTGTATCTTCGTATATTGTTGGACAGTCCCTATACAGTGAGGTAAGGTGTCTGTTGAAAGTTCTAATCATAGATTTTCTTATATTGTTTCACAGTCCTAAAACAGTGATGTATAAGAATTCTATTGCCAGGACTTACTTTGTATCTTCTTATATTGTTGGACAGTTCTTAAACATGAATTAAGATGTCTTTTGACAGTTCCAACCCTGGATTTTCGTATATTGTTGGACAGTTCTAAAACAGTGAGGTAAGATGTCTATTGACCAGACTTACTTTGTATCTTCTTATATTGTTGGACAGTCCTTAAACAGTGATGTAAGGTGTCTGTTGAAAGTTCTAATCATAGATTTTCTTATATTGTTGGACAGTCCTTAAACAGTGAGGTAAGATGTCTATTGCCAGCACTTACTTTGTATCTTCTTATATTATTGAACAGTTCTTAAACATGAATTAAGATGTCTGTTGAAAGTTCTAATCATAGATTTTCTTATATTGTTGGACAGTCCTAAAACAGTGAATTAAGATGTCTGTTGACATTTCTAAAACAGTGAAGTTAGATGTCTATTGACCAGACTTTCTTTGTATCTTCTAATATTATTGGACAGTCCTTAAACAGTGAGGTAAGATGTCTGTTGACAGTTCTAACCATGGATTTTCTTAAATTGTTGGATAGTCCTATAACAGTGTGGTAAGATGTCTTTTACCAGGACTTACTTTGTATCTTCTAATATTGTTGGACAGTTTTTAAACAGTGTTGTAAGATGTCTGTTGACAGTTTTAATGATGGATTTTCTTATATTGTCGGACAGTCCTATAACAGTTAGGTAAGATGTCTATTGACCGGACTTATTTTGTATTTTCTTATATTATTGGAGAGTCCTTAAACAGTGAGGTAAGGTGTCTGTTGACAGTTCTAATCATTGATTTTCTTATATTGTTGGACAGTCCTTAAACAGTGAGGTAAGATGTCTATTGCCAGCACTTACTTTGTATCTTCTTATATTATTGAACAGTTCTTAAACATGAATTAAGATGTCTGTTGAAAGTTCTAATCATAGATTTTCTTATATTGTTGGACAGTCCTAAAACAGTGAATTAAGATGTCTGTTGACATTTCTAAAACAGTGAAGTTAGATGTCTATTGACCAGACTTTCTTTGTATCTTCTAATATTATTGGACAGTCCTTAAACAGTGAGGTAAGATGTCTGTTGACAGTTCTAACCATGGATTTTCTTAAATTGTTGGATAGTCCTATAACAGTGTGGTAAGATGTCTTTTACCAGGACTTACTTTGTATCTTCTAATATTGTTGGACAGTTTTTAAACAGTGTTGTAAGATGTCTGTTGACAGTTTTAATGATGGATTTTCTTATATTGTCGGACAGTCCTATAACAGTTAGGTAAGATGTCTATTGACCGGACTTATTTTGTATTTTCTTATATTATTGGAGAGTCCTTAAACAGTGAGGTAAGGTGTCTGTTGACAGTTCTAATCATTGATTTTCTTATATTGTTTGACAGTCCTAAAACAGTGATGTATAAGAATTCTATTGACAGGACTTACTTTAGATCTTTTTATATTGTTGGAAAGTCCTTAAACAGTGAGGTAAGATGTCTGCTGACAGTTCTAATCATTGATTTTCTTATATTGTTTGACAGTCCTAAATCAGTGATGTATAAGAATTCTATTGACAGGACTTACTTTAGATCTTTTTATATTGTTGGACAGTCCTTAAACAGTGAAGTAAGATGTCTATTGACCAGACTTACTTTTTATCTTCTGATATTGTTGAACAGTTCTTAAATAGTGAGGTAAGATGTTTGTTGACAGTTCTAACCATGGATTTTCTTATATTGTTTGACAGTCCTAAAACAGTGAGATAAAATGTCTATTGCAAGGATTTACTATGAATCTTCTTATATTGTTGGAAAGTCCTAAAACAGTGAGGTTTAAGAATTCTATTGACCAGACTTACTTTAGATCTTCTTATATTGTTGGACTGTCCTTAAACAGTGTGGTAAGATGTCTGTTGACAGTTCTAATGATAGATGTCCTAATATTGTTGGACAGTTCTATAATAGTGAGGTATTAGAAGTCTATTGACAGGACTTACTTTGTATCTTTTTATATTGTTTGACAGTCCTAAAACAGTGAGGTAAGATGTGTGTTGCCATGACTTACTTTGTATCTTCTTATATTGTTGGAGAGTCCTAAAACAATGAGGTAAGGTGTCTGTTGAAAGTTCTAATCATAGATTTTCTTATGTTGTCATACAGTCCTAAAACAGTGAGGTAAGATGTTTGTTGACAGTTCTAACTATGGATTTTCTTATATTGTTGGATAGTCCTACAACAGTGCGGTAAGATGTCTTTTACCAGGACTTACTATGTGTCTTCTAATATTGTTGGACAGTCCTTAAACAGTGTGGTAAGATGTCTGTTGACAGTTCTAATGATAGATTTTCTTATATTGTCGGACAGTCCTATAAGAGTGCGGTATAAGAAATCTATTGACAGGACTTACTTTGGATCTTCTTATATTGTTGGACAGGGTTAACCATGGATTTTTTCATATTGTTGGACAGTCCTTAAATAGTGAGGTAAGATGTCTATTGACCGAACTTACTTTTTATCTTCTTATATTTTTCTCTAGAATATGTTTTCTTGAAGTTTTAAAGGGAGATAAGAGTCCAATCACTAATTCAGGTAAAAATAGATAATTCATAGATATCATATTATTTTGTATTCTTTGTTGCCCCTAAATCGCGAAATTTTACACCCGCGAAAATAACCCGCTATACGGTACTTTGTATCTTCTTGTATTGTTGGACAGTCCTTAAACAGTGAGGTAAGGTGTCTGTTGAAAGTTCTAATCATAGATTTTCTTATATTGTCGTACAGTCTTAAAACAGTGAGGTAAGATGTTTGTTGACAGTTCTAACTATGGATTTTCTTATATTGTTGGATAGTCCTATAACAGTGCGGTAAGATGTCTTTTACCAGGACTTACTTTGTGTCTTCTAATATTGTTGGACAGTCCTTAAACAGTGTGGTAAGATGTCTGTTGACAGTTCTAATGATAGATTTTCTTATATTGTCGGACAGTCCTATAACAGTGAGATATAAGAAATCTATTGACAGGACTTACTTTGGATCTTCCTATATTGTTGGACAGTGTTAACCATGGATTTTTTTATATTGTTGGACAGTCCTTACGCAGTGAGGTAAGATGTCTATTTTTCTCTAGAATGTTTTTTCTTGAAGTTTTAAAGGGAGATAAGAGTCCAATCACTAATTCAGGTAAAAATAGATAATTCATAGATATCAAATTATTTCCCATGGAATCTTATTGACAGCATATTTTACTTCACATATATATTAATGAAAATAATTTGTTATTTCAAGTCGATGTATGTTTCCTATAAAATAAAAGACATCTTAAAAGGAAAAGTACAAACATTTTGACTTGACCATTATATAGCAAGATGACCAGACCTTACTCCTGTACATGTTAATGACTTTCATATGACTTTACAAATTGATGTATGTTTTAAAAAATACAACTGTTTAATTTCAATGACAGATGTGGAATTCAACTGCTACTTGGTAAAATATTTAAGCAATTGGTATTGTGAAAGCCAGAAAATGGCAAACCTTTATGATGAGCACAGTAAGAAAGTAAAAATACAGGGATGTCAGAGGTGGATAAAGGGGCCTGCCCCACCCCCTTATTGGGCTTCATATATGATAAATGCATAGACTTTTTACAAGTATCACTCCAAACGTTGGCTTGCCAGGGCCTCCCTTTTTCAAAATCCTGGATCCACACGTGGATGTGGTATTTCAATGTTTGTGTTTATTGCATATATTTGAAAAAACTTTTCAAAACTGTAAACAAAACTGTGTCCATGTAAATGTCAAGTTTTTAAAATAATTCAAACTTTTTAACTGGCTTCAATTTACTATTTACATTTCTTGCAGGTAATTGTCTGTCTGGACAGATTATACCACTGTAAAAAAAATGGAATAAACAAACTTGTTGATAGATAAAAAAAAATGTAGTTGTTTATAAAATTTTATTTCAATAAAAGTTCCATATGACTTTTAAAAAAGAGAAAAGAAATGAAATACTATTAAACAATTTAAACATTTTGACTAAATCCTACTAAAAATCTTTAAAACAAAAACACATTAAAAATGTTAATATACCAAATTAACTATTATACTGTTCTCACTATTGTGACTTTTTATCCTACTTTTTCAAACACAGAGCACATTCCAGAATCAACTCATTCATTTACCAAGGTGTTTTAAAATATTAAACCTTTGTAGGTTTTTGCATGTACTAGTTTTTTGTGTCAAAACTATTACCTTTAAACCCTTATGTCTTAGTGTATTTTCAGAATATTTGAAAGACCTTACAGTTTAACATGCCACAAAGCTATCAGTTGTTTTTATTCAAAATTGAATAATTACATTATGTTGTATTAATTCTTCAAATACCTAATGATAATAAGAAATAAGTGCAACTTTTTTTTGTAATATTGCAAAATTAAACACATGAAAATGTTGGTTGTTCATTACATCGGATACTCTTATATTTCTAGAGAAAGCTATTTATATGTAGCTCCAGCAGTATACGTGGTCAATGTGTTATTGCTACTATATGGAATGGTATCATTGTACAGAATAGTTTATGCAGTTACTTCTGTCTTACTGGGGTTAGCAGTAACAAGGATGGTATATTATTTCAAACATGGACAACACATAGATATAGGACAAGATAAATCAGACTAATCATTAACATGTACTAAATAAAAGCATTATTATACAACATCAGTTTTGTCTTTTTCTCACATCATTTGGCATCCACTGTAAGTCAAGTGAAAATTTTTGAACACATTTCCTCCCCAGGAACTCTGGGCAATTAAAACTACATTAAGATTCAAAAATCCTTAGGGTGTCCAGTCTCAAAATTTTATTTGATGCTCTTCCAATCCAACAAAAATATAACATTTTAAATGCCACCTTCATTAGAATAGAACATTTAATGGATTTTTACTTATCTATTTTTAGGATAATATTTGAAGAAATTTGAACTTGCAAAAACTGTAAATTTGAAATTTATTGAGAGGTTAATGAAGGTCTTGGTCGTGGGTCCTTCAATTCATTATTCTTTATCTTTTTAGACCATTTTCTCTATTCTTTATTTATTTTGACCATTATTCTCTATTTTTTAAATTTCAGCACCCAATTGTTCTCTTTTTTTTTGCCTATTTTTCTCTATTCTATTTTTGTTTGCCCTTTATTCTGTACTTTTTGACCATTATTCTCTATTCTGTTAATATAAATAAGAAGATGTGGTATGAGTGCCAATGAGACAACTCTCAATCCAAGTCACAATTTATTAAAAGTTAACAATTATAGGTCAAAGTACGGCCTTCTACACGGAGCCTTGGCTCACACGTAACAGCAAGCTATAAAGGGCCCCAAAATGACTAGTGTAAAACAATTCAAACAGGAAAACCAACAGTCTAATCTATATAAAAAACGAGAAGCGAGAAACACCTATGAACCACACCAACAAACGACAACCACTGAACAACAGGCTCCTGGATGTTACCCCATCCAGACCCTTATAGATAAGAAGGACATGCTGTACAAACCTTGTTATCTGAATAAAAGAGTACCGTAGTTGGGAAGCTATGGAACATTCAAAATAGAAGCATTCAAAACAAAAAAACTCACTAAGGCTGGAAATGTGAAAGTAAAGTTAAATAGCAGACTTGTTCCTGTATTGTTGAATCACAGTTTATGGCAAAACTCAGTAAAGATGCGTCTAAATTCCATTTAATTGATAAATTCAACAACACTTACTGTAACCTTGATGATAGTTTTGTGTTAAATAATCAAGAATTTTCTAAATATACTTCTGAAATTTACCCTAGGGAACTTACTTTAAATAAATCTGATGTACACAGCAGTTACTGTCCTTTCCTATATTTAGATATGTCAGTCTCACATAGGAAACTCTACAATTTTCGACAAAAGAGACTATTTTTATGCTCCATTTATGGGAATTATGTTTTTCGGTCTGTGCGTCCGTTTGTTCGTTCGTCTGTCCGTTCGTCCGTCTGTCCCGCTTCAGGTTAAAGTTTTTGGTCAAGGTAGTTTTTGATGAAGTTGAAGTCCAATCAACTTGAAACTTAGTACACATGTTCCCTATGACATGATCTTTCTAATTTTAATGCCAAATTAGAGTTTTGACCCCAATTTTACGGTCCACTGAACATAGAAAATGAATGTGCGAGTGGGGAATCCGTGTACTATGGACACATTCTTGTTTGTTCCTTATTGTTAATTTTCAGTTTTGGAGCAGTGGTGTTCCTTTATCCCCATCTTAAAGTGTTTATATATCCCAACTCAGCTTTGTCTGTACATTATAGATTTCAATGAACTTAATCCTTGCATCATTGGTTAATTATTAAGTCAAGGATTTTATTAACACAAATTACTAAAACCTTTACTAAATAGTTTCATAAAAACAAAGATTTAGTTTGACTTTTGGCTGTACATTTAGAAAAAATTATTACAAACAGGAAATCACATCCTCATTTTTAAGGTGATATTGTGTATAAGGCCTGTTAATTTAGATACCATCCATATTAACATGTCCACCCTTAGAATAAACTTTTTCTAAACGATTTATCATTTTAACACTGTAATGAGAACTTTGAATATTGTTTTTATGCCCCCGCTGTAGGCAATGGGGGCATTAAGTGTTACCCTTGACCAACTGTCCTTCCGTCTTTCTGTCCGTCTTTCCATCCTTCCGTCTTTCTGTCCGTCTTTCCATCCTTCCGTCTTTCTGTCCGTCTTTCCATCCTTCCGTCTTTCTGTCCGTCCCATTTTCGTTTCTGCATTCTAATCAAATTTTCCTCATCCAAATTTTATGAAACTCATACACAATGCTAAGAACCGAAACTTGCAAACAGAGTTCGAATTTGAGCAGTGAGTCGCTTACCATTCTAGAGTTATGCCCTTTATAACCTGGAAATTGGCATTTTTTTTTTCATTTCCGCACCCTTTCTTAAGTTTTCCTCCTCCCGATTTTATGAAAGTCGTACACAATGCTAAGCACCAAAACTCACAAACAAGAGTTGGAACTTGGGCAGTGAGTCAGTTATACTTGGAAAATTGCAATTTTTTTCGTTTCCACACTAACTCAAGTTTTCCTCATCCAAATTATATTAAACTCATTCACAATGCTTAGAACCAAAACACGCAGACAGAGTTCGAAATTGGGCTTTTACCGTTCTAGAGTTGTGCCCTTTTTAACTTGAAAAAAATCAAAGCTTGAGCGGGGGCATTCTTGTCCTCAGACACATTCTTCTATTTTTTTCTGTTATGTTGCAAGTATTTTGAACTATGGCTGTGAAATTTGGGGGTATAATAAGGCACCAGATATTGAAAGGGTTTATATGTATTTTTTGGTTTTTGGTCAAGGTAGTTTTTGATGAAGTTGAAGTCCAATCAACTTGAAACTTAGTACACATGTTCCCTATGATATAATCTTTCTAATTTTAATGCCAAATTAGAGGTTTGACCCCCAGATTCACGGTCCACTGAACATAGAAAATGATAGTGCGAGTGCGGCATCCGTGTACTATGGACACATTCTTGTTTAATAATTTATATTCAGTTAACTCGAACAATTACAGCGCCTCCTTACGGTCATTGTCCTCCAGTGTGGTCGTAGTGATCTGAATATGACGACTGGGTAATATTCGGGTTAATATGAATATTAATTAATGAATTTTTAATATTAAAAAATTAACATTTATGTTACCTTAGCGTTTAAGATTAGGCAAAATAATCATGTTCCGCCAAACGCTCTTATAATGAATATGAGACAAGTCGACCCGGAGTCAATTCAGAACATCTTTAAAGTCAACTTGGAACGTCTATAATGTCAACTCAGACAAAGTAATACAAGAAAGTTTGGACTATTTAATGATTATAAATGATTAAATGTTATATTTCACATACTTAAAAGTATTTAAATGCTGCTAAATTTGCAAAAAAAATCAAAATAATTTGTTCAATGTGAATCCAAATTTCTACTGATCTTTTTTTTTAATCAATTTTGAAATTTTATTTATACCAAAAAAGAATATAAAGTTGGTGCTGAATATGGTTTATGATATATGCCATTATCATCATGATGACGCACATTCATACAAATATAATTGAATGGAAAATAGTTTTAGCCGTATGAAGAAATATTGTCTGACAGTACTACTGCGGGTTTAACATAGACACGTTTAATCAACGATAGGAGAAACAAGATTACTGTGGGCATGGGATTGATAGTTATTATACTTTAATAACTCCAGGTTAGGGAAATCGTAATAAAAATATGTTGGTGTAATTATAATGGCAGGATTAATATTCATTATAACACAAGTTGCCCAATTCATACATTTTGAATAATTTAAATCAAGCTCTTTATAACAAGAACTTAAGATACAATTATCACTAACTTAAATTTTGAACCACAGTTGAAGTCTTCTAAAATTACACTAAAACTGAAATAGAAATCTACATAAATCGATGTAGACCATAACATTTGATGTCGTTCTTTTGACACATTCTACAGTGGACAAAATTAAAATTTTCTATCATAAGAGATTATGTACTCCCCATATCGCACAACCATACATTAATATATTACTAACATAGGAATAAAACAGATTAAGCATTACAAATGTATTTAAAACATAGTGATGAAGATGTTCTTCTCATTCTAAACATTAGAGGAAAAGAGGACGGGATTGTGGTTATAAGATTTGGAACATATTCGTCGTCATCTCGTGATGGCGTCCGTAAAATTTTCGAAAGGATGATTTTAACTTTATTACTTGGAACTCTTGGTTCAATAGATTTCTTGTAAGCAGCAAACCTCTATCAAGGAAAATATGATAGGAAATGCAAGCTCTGAAATATCGTATCAACTGGGAGTTATATACTCGAGGTGCAGCTGGAATTTTGCTACATAGAAATGGAAAGTTCACAATTGGGAAGCTGAAATAATTTCTTTTGACGTAAAGATTTGTTCTCAACCATCCCTCATTGTCAATATGTAGATGTAAGTCAAGATATGAGGCAAACTTAACTGTATCTGTTGTATCCTTTATTTCAAGATCGATGGATAGATGCGTTCAACATAGTCACCAAACTGAATTATTTAGTGAGAGGACATCATCTATATAGCATGACGTGAAGTTAAAGGATAATGCTAGCTTCTTTTCATTCTTTCTAAGAAGCTCCTGCAAGAAGAGGAGCTCAGTTGATTCCCATGGGAATGCCGATTGTTAGTCGAAAAACACGTCCTCCAAGCGTAACAAATATTTTGTTAATCAAAAAAGCATCTTGATAAGGTCAGTGTCAGAGAGAATTTTTTGCTTGAAACAGTGATTTGTTACACAGTAATATTCATCCCTCACCAAGACGAGATACTTGTATCTAAGTTGGCCATTCTTTTTAATGAAACAAATCAGAACTAATTCTTTCAATTTATCTTTTAGTTTGGAATTGGGAATACTTGTGTATAGGGTAGAAAAGTCAAATGTTTTAGTACTATTGCAAAAGGAAAAAGACCAGGTGATAATTCGCTTAAACACTATTTTCTAAATATATCCATATTTTATTTAGCTGTACTATTCAAGCTTTACGGAATATAGCAATACTTTTTTTATTGTTTAATGTTAAGTTGCTGTCATATGATGAAAAGTACGTGCAGTTCTAAGGATTGCCTAAAGATTGGCACGTGAT